TTTCTTGCAATGACTTACCACAGCTGCTACAGCATGAACGTTTTGAAATACTTTGTATTCCAACAATTTTGCCAGAAACATCGGATGTTGTCATGACAAGATGGCCTTTGTCAACTTCTACTAATGCTTGCTCAAATGGGGTGGTTTCATCAAATAAAAACGTTTCTGTCTTTGCAGTATTCAGGTACCTGTCTCTATTTGTCACTTTCAATCGAAGGTTTTTGAACATATAGGTTGTTCCAGCTTTAAGGGTATCTACATATTGCTCCCACAAAACAAGTCGTATGTAACTTGTGGTGTCTCGAATTGTGACGTCCTGTTTTGTAAGTTGTCCCTGAGACTGAGTGTTGACTTTTTTTGTCCCAGAGATCTCAGTGACCTCTGCCTTCAAGTTTACAAGCTGATCTTTACCAAATTTTTCAAGAGCTGAAATGGTTGTTGTTGGTATGTTTTCACTACCAGTAATTGAGTAATTGAAGTTGATATCTTCTTTGCTAAGTGTTGTTATTTTTGTGTATTTGGACATCACAACTTCTGGCTTGCCTTGGTAAATCTTTGTCTGAAAATTCTTAATTGTCACAGGTGACTTTGACTTCCCCAACTGTAGGACATTGTGTTGCTTTTCAGGTGAAAAGCAAACTGCTCGCATTATTCCATTTTCTTTTTGCAAGTTGCAACTGAAGTATTCTTTCCCTGACAGTGCTCCCTTTTTGACGGGTGACACATTATGAATATAACAATTTAATTCGTGTTGTTGTTGGTATTAGATTTAGTACCTAAGAGAAATAATAATAAGACATTATATAATAAGAAAACTTAACAGAAAGATAGAAACAGAAGTATGCATGGGGGTTTTGGACATGTCCTAATTTTAATTTCATGTAAGTTATTTTTTGTAAAGCTCTTTGTAAGTATTTGTGAATAATTATTTTTTATTATTGGAATTAATAGTATACAGCCAGTTTTTGAATCAACCCCACCCCTTTTAATTAACCCCCACCTCATTGTTAGCTAAAATTTTATAAACACACCTTGTCACTTTTGAAAAAGTCTATTCCCCATCCCTCAAAGAAGTGGATGGGGTACAAACTATATTAAATATCTCACCTTCTCTTGCAGAAGAAGTAGCTTCAACGTCTGATTGAATCTTGTTTTCAAGTGAATCTAAACAAATTTATGTAGTTTTGTAAATGCAATTGACATTTTCTAGCTGTGACATAAAAGTATATTATTATTATATATAATATAATAAAATATGCAGTATTTAAGTATTATTATTAAGGTATTACCGAAATCAGTAGAGTGTCTTTTCAGAAATAGAAAAGATGGTTAGAAATGCAGGGAAATGTTCATCTTTTTGTCGCTAACGTTGCCAAGCCCTTGGCTAAACAAAATTCCTTCGCCTTTAGCCTCAAGAACACGACCTTCCTAAGCGTCTCTTTGTACTATTTACAACATGAGCGGCCGTGTTGTATCGGATATACAAACTCTTGCCGAAGGCGAGAGTTTGTATATATCCGATACAACACGGACGCGAATGTTGTAAATGGCTTAAAAAACGACTCATCCTATATGAGTTCATTGGCGAAGTAACTTTAAAAATAAACGTTGTCTAAGCCGAGAAAATCAAAGTTAAAGTTTATGTAAATCAACATGAATCTGTATCACATATACAGAAACGATACGCTTATGATTTTTCTTTGTGTTTTCTTCATGAATTATTGAGTTTTTTAATATTTCTAAAAAGACACTCTACTGTGACTCAGTGCTAAATATATCATTTCATTGCCACACCCACAAACATAATTTGTCCTAACCTAAGGAATATTTCGTTGACACATATATTGGAATATATATCATTTTATTGTTTAATCAGGTTATATATAGAATATATAAAATAAAACTATAAGGCGATGGAATTTTTAGGTTACTGGGCCGAGGTATAATTATTAAGTTTACCGTCGTCACCCGCCTACATGGCTCATCAGGGCTGCGTGAAAATTTTCATTTTGTCTTATTTTTAAACAAAGTGCTTTGTAAATTTGTTTTCTGTTGAAATTGTGCATGAACATGGACTGTATTTATACTTTCCATACGTAGCCTACGAGGTTTTGCTGAATGTACAAAAATCTTCAATACTGTTCCGAATTTTCGGTCAAAATTACGACGCCTTTACCAGACATTCCAACTCTCCCGATTTTACCGGGAGACTCCCGAAAATTCATGCAATCTCCCAGTCTCCCGATTTTTATCAAATTCTCCCGATTTTTCAGAATATTCAGGAAATATCATAAAAAATTATAAATATACTGTTTTTAGCAACATAATAGTCTGTCTTGACCTTTTTTGAAGTTGCTTTATGGCACTTTATAGGATCACTTATAACAACATATTCCCAAAATGCAGGAAACGCCATTTCAGAAGACTTAATTTTTATTATTTTTTCCCAGAACAACTAGATTTCAATTCACTGAACAGTCTCCCTAATTTTTACCTCCAGTGGTTGGAATGTCTGCTTTACTGTAAAATATAAATGAACAGTGAAGCCGCATCAACTTTTCAAAATTTAGGTGACGATATTAAAACTGATACCTTGCAAATCTAAACGTTTTATCTAAGACAAAGCCAAAGGAAACTAGATTTGTAGGTTTAATAAATTACTGGCCGAACTGTGTATATTAAATAGTGTAGTTGCACCACAGAATATACTTCTGTGGCTGCACGCTCTGACTTGCACAGACCACTCGGCGAGTCGCGCACATTTTTATATATATTTACATGTAACATTAACCTCACGGTTTCTTAATCTCCTTAGTATATTCATTTTAAACTTATGACAAAATTGAAACTAATGTACATACCTTCCATCTTTGTCAAATGTTTCACAGTATTAATACTTATACAGTGTCAGTCAGTGAATATTAAAAAGTACAGTGACTACGCGCACCAGAACCAGAGCTTCAGAACAATGACAAATATTCAAGAACACGCCTCCCCTAGCCACACCTGTTTTCTCGTAACCAGAGCCCTTCTTACGCGCGGTCAACGGAGCGCGACGAGGGGCTCTGGCCAAGTCGATAACCGGGTACAATAAAATAGGTACGCAGAACATACATGTGTTAGCCTCGGAAAGCTTGCCTAAAAAGCTGTGCTAAAAAGATTGCATATTCGCATACAAAACAACAAGGCAGAAAGCGCATAGCAACACGAGGTCATGCTATGCAAGTTTTTGCATTATTCTGAATAGTGCAGGTTTATTGGAATAGCATGACCAGTTGCCATGGCTAGCTTGCCACTGAATACTCAATGCTACAATATATCATGTATATATAAACAATAATACTTGAATGAAAGAATCTACACGAGGCTACTGACCTTGACAGGCTTAACTTTGTCTCGGTGAATATTCCCCGATAACTACCTCGCCTTCGAATCCCACCACATTTTTCCGGCCACGCGTGTTTCTGGCGTGTTTTTCCCCCGCCGGGGACGTAACCTGAAATTCAGGCCCTAATTAGGGCCTGAATTTCAGGTTAGGGGACGAGGCTGTTACCCTGGTTGTGCCTCCTGCATTGAACCGTAGAATTTCAGTGCTCTCACTTTTAAGGAATTATCCTTAAAAATAGGAATTTTGAAGTGTTTTAAGGATTTTTTTAAGGAATTTAGGTTTTGAGGATTTTTTTTAGGAATTTCCGAAACATTTTATCCTGGACTAAAAACGTTGGACGGAGGATAACCATGCCAAGCAAATGAGATTTAAACTTGAAAGTAGCAACATTATACGCACATAATTACATATATTCGTATGTTCTCTATGCCATGAATGTACATATGGCTGTGTTTCCATTTAAATTCTCAAGAGTTGAATGTCAGTATATGCTGTTTCTTCTGAAATCTACAGATTTTCTAAGCTCTTCATGCAGGAACGATAAAAAATTCATCATGTTGAATGAATTGTTTTCTTTATGGCATTATGCTAACAACCAAATGTTTTCAGTACTTAGAAAACAAGGTTGAAAAACTGAAAAACAGAAAAAATGGAGAAAAGGACTTTAAAACTATATGATCAGGCCTTGCAGTAATTTTACCAAATTAAGGAATTTTAAGAAAATATGAGGAATTTTTGAGCTTTTTCTAAGGAATTCGAAAATTTGATTGTGAGAGCACTGCCACAGGCACTGCCATAGATTGAACTAAAAATAACCCCCGTGAGCTTGCTGTATTTTATAGTTCACCAATACTGCAAATTTTATTATTTTATTGTATGTTCTGCCTGTTTTATATCGAAATATTTTTCAAAATAAGATGAAAGTTTGATCATAAATAACAATGTGTTTTGGTCGAAGTATTTTATCCATTGAAAGGAATGAATTATAACTGTATTTAAATTATTAAATTTCTAGGTGCATAGAAGTCTTCATATCGTCGTTCAAAAAGTTTGTAAAAAATCTGATTGAGCTTGATAGATTCAAAACATTGCACTTCAAGGTATAAATAAACATAGTGATTACTGATAGTTCATTACGGTATTATAAATATTGTTATTATGGGAGTATCAATTGAGCAATATCGTGCCCGCATTGGAACACACAATTGTCATTGTATACGAATGAAACATCTGACTAATTGTTTGCAAGATAGCTTTCATCGCATATTGTTCATATTATTTCATATGATTATAGTGGTTATAATGTTAATAATATTTGTTTGTATGTGTTACTTGAGCATATCATATGTGTCACCACTACATCAGCTAAAATTAGCAAGCCATTGTGCCACTGCCATACAAAATCGGCAAGCTATTCCACCATCAGGCCTGATGCCACTGCTACAAACAACGGCAAGCCATTGTGCCACTGCCACACAAACAAATCAGCAAGCCATTGTGCCACTGCTACAAACAATAATAGCAAGCCATTGTGCCACTGCCACAAAATTAAATCAGCAAGCCATTGTGCCACTGCTACAAACAATAACAGCAAGCCATTGTGCCACTGCCACACAAATATTAAATCAGCAAGCCATTGTGCCACTGCTACAAACAATAACAGCAAGCCATTGTGCCACTGCCACAAAATTAAATCAGCAAGCCATTGTGCCACTGCTACAAACAATAACAGCAAGCCATTGTGCCACTGTCACAAAATTAAATCAGCAAGCCATTGTGCCACTGCTACACAAAATAAGCAGACCATTTTGCTTAAAATGTTTTAATCAATTGATAGTGTTATTTACTCTAATGTCAGGCTACATTGTTTATGTTGCATTGTTGTTGAGAATGGCAAATGATGTTGAGGAAAATCCTGGACCCACAATATATGATGTGGTTGATCCAACTAAAACAATATGTGCTGATTTTAGCCAGGGAAATACAAAAAAGTTTCGACAAAATGCTGGAAAACAATGTTTGGCAATGTCCTTGACTGCGATAATATATAATCATATCACAAATGCAAATCAATGGGATTCAACTATATTAAATTCCATAATGTGTGCTGGAAATATCCTTTATTCGTTCATAAGCAATTCTGTTAAGAAAAGCTATTTGCTTTTGACTGACGTGCCTGAAATGGTTTCGGTTTTTGATTGCATTTATTGTATGGAATATGGTGACCCGTTTGCTGGCGACTTATTCATGGCAAATATGACTCTACCTTATTATTCTATAGATAAGGCTCTTAATAATATATTTGCAGAAACTCATTTAAATTATCAACATTGTATGTTGACTATTGGTTCTAATACTGTTGCAAGTTTGAAGACTTCTGAAGGAACCTTCAAAGTATTTGATTCTCATTCAAGAGATTTATATGGGATGCCACACCCTTTTGGAAAATGCATATTAACATCTGTTGATAGCATAGAAAACCTGGTAATTTATTTCCAGAGTACTGTACCTCCAGGTAATGAAACACCCTTTGAACTCAAAGGAGTAACTGTTCAGTTAAATTCTGATATAACACAAATAAATGGACTTGCTTCAAGCCAAAGTGCAAAAGAGTGTGTAAAACAAAAACGTTCAGAAGAAACCAAAAGTAAGAAACAAAGTAGACTGGAAAATGCTCGAAAGTATAAAAAAGCAAAGCAAGCAGCAGAAACTGACAAACAAACTAGACTTCAAAATGTTAGTGATTATAAAAAAGCAAAACAAGTTGTAGAAACTCAAAGTGAGAAACAAACTAGACTTAAAAAAGCTACAGAGTATCGAAAAGCTACAGAGTATCGAAAAGCAAAACGAGCTGCACAAACTGAAAATGAAAAACAAAGTAGACTTGAAAATGCTAGGGAGTATAGAAAAGCAAAGAGAGCTGCAGAAACTGAAGATGAGAAAGAAACTAGACTTGGAAAAGTTAGAAATTATGAAAAAAGAAAACGAGCACAAGAAACTGAGATTGAAAAGCAAGCTAGACTCGCTAATCAAAACAAGAGAAAACGTCTGCATGGTTCTACTCAAATTACAAGTCAGCAAGATTATTTAAGCAAATTTGATATTGAAAAAGATGGTAGTATTCATGAACAGAGTTGGGCAAAATTTAACATTAATAAATTTTCTAAATCTACTGAATTCTTCATTAGTCAATGCACTATATGTAAAGAAGCCTGGCCACTGAACTCCAAACCAAGGTCACCTGATTGTTATATATGCTCTCGATGTGCTCGAGACACAAAATCTCCTAGAAAGTTTTCACTTGAAAATTCAATGATTCCTTCTCCAGTGCCAACCGAGTTACAAAATTTAACACAAATAGAGGAAATGTTGATTGCTCGTGCCCTTCCTATCATGAGAGTTTACATTAAGCCTGGTGGACAACGAGGTTACTCAGGTCATTGTGTTAATTTGCCACAAAATGTTAAGGAACTTGCAACATCATTGCCAAGATATCCCAAAGATTTGTCTGTGATTATTGTCAAAGTCACAGGTAAAGATAACTCATTTAGAGATGTTGCTGTGAGAAGAGAAAAAGTACATAATGCATTATTATGGCTTTTGCAAAATAATCCTCATTATGCTGAATTACAAATTAATGAAGATGCATTAAACTCTTTACCTGAAAATGGCATTCCAGCAGATCTCATGACTGTTGAGACTGAAAAGGAAATAATCTCAAATGATGATGTTATGTCAGATTTAGGTCCACCTACTGAAAACCCTTCTGAAGATATAGTTTATAACAACTCGACAGACATGAATACTTTCTTGCCTGTTGGTGAACAGCATGAACAAGAAATAGAAGCAGTTAGAAATCAGCTTTCTCCAAATGAACCAATGCCATGGCCTGCCATTGAAAGTGAACCATTGAATGAATATCAGATATCACATCTAGCCACTATGGCTTTTCCAACATTATTTCCTGATGGGAAAGGTGATCCCACTAATCAAAGCATCTTGAGGAATGTTCCTCTTCAAGAAAGAATTAAGCATCTTTTGAAATTTGCTGAGTTTATTGATAGTAATTGGGTATACCGTTTTGCTAACCACCCTAGATTTTCATACTGGGCGTTTAATATGATTCACAGAAAGCGTATTCTACAACAAAGTGGAATATTCATTAAACAAAATCCCGGTGAAGCACACCTCACTATTGATGAGCTCCGTGAAATGGCTGCAAGTGACAACTCTGCTTTATTGATGTCCAAAGTGTCCAGATACATTGGCAATATTGCAGGTACTAATGCTTACTGGAATAAAGTGAGAGAGGAACTCAAAGCTATAATAACAAATGTTGGAGCACCAACAGTGTTCTTTACTTTCTCATCAGCAGATATGCACTGGCCTGAATTACATGCCCTCTTTGGAGCAAACACTGGTAACGCCACTACTGAGGCAAGGAGACAAAATGTTATTAACAATCCACATATAGTTGATTGGTTCTTTACACAGAGACTAGAAAAGTTTGTTCAACACTGGCTTTATGATACACTTGGTGCAAAATGGCACTGGTTTCGATATGAATATCAAGGTAGAGGTAGTATTCATTGTCATGGTACTGCTAAACTTAATAATGACCCAGGTTTGTGTCAACTTACTCAGACAGCTTTAAAAGGATTTTTAGCTCAAAAATTTAAAAATGAAAATGATTGTTCTGAGACTACTGAACTAGACCAGGATATTGAAGCTGGTCAGAAAGCAGCTGACACAGTATGTCAGTATGTTGATTGGTTATTATCAACCGTCAATCCTAATCCACCAGATGAGGACATGTGGATAAGACCCGAGGTTCATCCATGTCAACGAAGTCATCATGACATTCCTGAACATGAAAAACAATCAGATTATGTAGATCTATTAAACATGGTTCAACGACACACTCGTTGTAGCACAAGTTATTGTCTTAGAAAGAAGTCAAGTGAAACAGAGTTGAAATGTAGATTTCATTTCCCTTTTGATAATTGTCCGAAGACAAAATTAGAATTTGAAAAAGTTCATACTTCAGGTGATAATGAGCATTATCGAGCTAAGATTGTGACTAAACGAAATGACTCTAGATTAAATAACCATCAACAACTTCAGCTCCAAGGATGGAGAGCTAACTGTGATATTCAGGTTGTTATTGATCACTATGCTTGTGTTGAATATCTCACAAAATATGCAGCTAAAGGTGAGCCAAGATCACCTATATTAAAACAGGCATTCAATTCTATTGTGCAAAATGTTGACAGTAATACTGACCCACGTAGAGTTATTAAGAAGGTAGTTATGAAATCTCTTGGTGAAAGAGATTATGCAGCTCAAGAGACCATGCATCATTTATTGTCTTTAAAACTCCACAGCTCATCCTTTAAAGTGATGCCAGTTAGTCTAAATGGTTCACGTAGAGTGCGTGATACTGCAAGTATTGACGAGGGTGAATCGTGCACCGATTATTCACTTCTTGATGTGTATGCTAATCGTGAACAATATGACAGTTCACAAAATATAATAAATATGAACTTTGTTCAGTTTGCTACAACATACAAAGTTGTTAACAATGAACTGACAAAATTGCCAGAGAATGTTATACCACGAATATTTCCAACATATTCTCCTAATCCCAAAGGTCCAAATTTTGCCCTGTATTGTAAATATCAACTTTTGAGGTATAAACCGTGGAGAACAACCCAAAATAATGCATGGGGTGACCAAGAACCAACTGACGAGGTTCTGATCAATTGTTGGCATGAATTTTTACAAACACCTTATGGGCAGTCTAATGTTCCAGACTGGTTTGATAAATTACAAGCTGTCATTCAAACTCAAGAATCAGAAGAACCTTCTGAAGAACAGGAGCCAACTCGAGAAGAGTGGATGATATTATCAGACCTCAACACTCCTTTTGACAACTCTGAACAAACACCAGAGTCCACATATGACTGGCATCTTGACAGAGCCAATTATTCTCAACAACAAATCCAAGAAATGCCAACATGGATAAAAACAAACAAAGAGGAATACACTATTGATGAGCAATATGATGTTGTTGACATCAACAGTTTTAGTGAAATGCAAAAACTTGCTTATGATATTGTTAAGTCTCATTTTGATGATATATCATCTGAGAAAGAGCCATTATGTCTCATTATAAATGGTGTTGCAGGAACTGGTAAAAGTTACCTTATTAATGCTATTAGAAATCTTTTGCAAAGTAAATGTGCTGTTGCTGCTACCACAGGTAAAGCAGCTTATAACATTAGAGGTGTAACTGTGCATTCTCTATTAAAGTTACCTATAGGATCAAGAGGTAAAAAAGACCTAACAGGACAAAGCTTGTGTAGGTTACAAGAGAGTGTTAATAACATTGGATACATCATTATTGATGAATACTCCATGCTTGGCCAAGTTACTTTTGGTTGGATAGACAAGCGTTGCAAACAAGCAACTGGTTATAATGACAAAGTTTTTGGAGGAAAATCATTGATTTTAACTGGTGATCCAGGTCAATTGCCACCAGTAGCAGATAAACCTCTTTACCATGCTAGACCATCAAACGCTGTTGGTGAACAAGGTCATCAAGCATATCATATGTTTGACAAAGTTGTTAAACTCACTGTAAATCAACGTGTGCAAGGTATGACATCTGAGCAAGTGCAGTTCAGAGATTTGTTATTACGACTTCGCAAAGGCAACTCAACAGTTGATGACTGGAAGTTACTTCTGACACGTCAACCATCGAATGTTACTAATTTATGTGACTTTGAAGATTCTACTAGACTCTTTTATAGTAATGAACAAGTTGCTAATTACAACCATGAGCAGCTAACAAAACTTGAGCATCCAGTTGCTCATATTAATGCTCGCCATTCATCAGCATTTGCAAAAAAGATATCCTCAGATGATATGTCTGGGTTAGAACCTGTTGTGTTTCTAGCAAAAGGTGCTAGGGTCATGTTAACCATGAATTTGTGGTCAAGTGTTGGTCTCTGCAATGGTGCTACTGGGACAGTTGTTGATATTATCTATCAGAACAACCATCAACCACCTGACTTACCTATTGCGGTAATAGTAGAATTTGAAAACTATAGAGGACCTGTTTTTAATGAAAACCAACCATTGTGTATCCCAATATATCCAATCACTGTCACATCACAGACAGAAATAGGTTTCCATGAGAGACAACAGTTACCTCTTAGGCTTGCTTGGGCTCTAACAATACACAAGAGCCAAGGACTTACACTTCCAAAAGCATGGATAGATATTGGCAAATCTGAAAGAACTGCTGGAGTTTCCTATGTTGCTATTAGTAGAGTAAAATCACTTGCATCTTGTGTCATTGAACCTATGACGTATGAACGATTAACAAGCTTGAAATCATCAGCTAACTTACAATATAGGCTTGAAGAAGAAAACAGGCTAGATCAGTTAGCACAGGCTACTAGCAGTGCATTTATTTAGAACAACAAACTATTGAGGTTGAATAAGAAAGGGATTTCATATATGGGTCCCAGTTATATTTTGGAATGTAGTTTGACTATATACCCTTTTAAATAATTTAATTTATTATATAATAACTAATTTACTCATTGTTATCACTGTATGTATGAAAATATTATGATTTGCAAGTTGAAATTATGGTAAGTATTTTGTTTGTTAATTAAACCCCTCCCCTGCCCTACTTTTCTTTTCATTCATTGATGTGCTACCATGTTTCTAAGTAAATATCTCATGCTGGCAATTATTTGTTCTATAGTTTTGCAATTCTGACGGATGTGAATGGTGCCATGTTAACTGCTGGATGAAACCAAATGGTTGTTAAAGTCAAAATACAATATGGATATATTACATCGCATGAAAATCGATGGGAGCTTCTGGATTAACAGAAATGTATTTCTATTAAAACAAGAATGCTGATTTACAAATTTGTATGGACATATTACATCTAATGCAATGGGATGGAATCTGAATTTCGCTGTACTTGTTTCCAATCTACCATATGGATGTCAGGAACATTGTGTGTCAAGATATTACATACCTTTATATGTACAGTAACCTAACAAGTTATTGGACAATAATGATGGCCAACAATGGATACTACCTGTACATGCTAAATAAATACGAAATATTTATATATTGGACAAAAAACGAATAGTGTAAGACTTGTTTACCAAATGGAAAATACAGTATGGACTATCATTACCTTGGAAAGAAAGAATATCAAAACTTGCAACAAACTGGTCATATCAGGTTAAAAGACATATCGTGTATATTCCTAATTGTGTTCTTCTAGACGTTTTGACAAGTGAAGATGGTTAAAACATTGGTACCAACAATCACAAGCATACATTTAAATATGAAAATCCGAAGTACACGTTATAATAGTATATATAGTAATTATTGCATGTTATAATTTCGATATTTCTTAAAGAAAATAAATTCATACATACAGTGTGTATAAGGCAATTTAAGTAAATGAAGTTTATTGGTATAATCAATCCCCAGGACTTTGGTGCTGAGGCAGCACTTCCCTTGCGATAGTAACTTCTAGTATTAGATCTGATCTTTGTTTCGGTATGACCTATAATATTGAAGTGATAATCAAGCTCATCAAATAAATGACTTTGTAAATTTTCAAAATTTAAATTTAAGCTTCTAATATTGTTATGGAAAATAGATAAGTTTTCTTGCTGACTAGATAATGCGGCTTTGTTTTTCATTAATTTAAAACTATGAGGAGAATAATAACGGCTTTGTAATTGCTGAAATGACATATAATTATTTAGGTCTAAATTATTATCATGCAAGGTATTAAGATTAAACAAATTTAAATTATGGAAGCCTGACAATTTCTGAAGGTCTCTCCTAGATTTTAACTCAGAGAAACTTTTGAAGATTGAGGCCAAATCTCCTTTAAAATTATAGAAGGGTAGTTCTTTACACAACTCTCTGTTCATTGAGGCATGACTTTGGTTATGCTTTGCTAACATTTCGTTTCTGCTTTACTAAAACTAATTCTCAAGAAATACAACACACACACATACAATTTATATTATAATGTTAACTTAGCTCAGTATGTGACTTGAAGTTCCATTTAGCGTCGAGTTGTCATTGCCCTCAGATCAACCAGATTTTTCAACTTATATGCACGCGAACTTTCAGATTCTCGAAGAAAGATAAAACCATTTTTCGCCCAACAGAATTTATATCCATTTGCTTCTTTAAATAACTTCGCTTCACGCAAAAGAGTTTGCAGCCGAGGACTTAAGTGGTCATAAAGTTGTAGCCCTTCCACTGATAATTGTTCATGGAAGCCAACATCACTAGGAGAGATCTTTTAAGATCTTTTAAGATTTTTTTTTTCTTTTTTAGATGTGTTTAAAAACACATTCTTTCGTGCAGCCATAACCTTTTTTTTTGAAATTCGTCTGGTAAATTTACAAATGATTGGATTAGGTTTGTTTGGGAAATTTCTTCTCGTTGGTACCCGGTGGGCAATATCAATATCATAGGGAGAAATATCTTTTACACCTAGAGCTGTAAATAGACGTAGGCAAATATCAACTGTTTCGTCAGCCCTTTCATACACGCTGACTACAGGCATACCAACTATTTTCACATTGTAATTGAAGCTATAGTCTTCTATCGCCGCTATAGCATTTGAAATTTCTGTATACTTCTTCGATACTTCTTTTATTTCAGCTTTTATCTGGTCAAGTTCCTTCAGGACTTGATCATACTGATTACTGAGGAATTCAACTGATTTCTTTTTCTCAGACGACAAAGGTTCTTCTTGCTCGCCTGATCGGCCATTAGCACTGCTAGCTTCTTTCGTCGACAAGACATTTTGACTTAAATTATCTACTTTTTCCACCAATTTTTCAATTTGAATCTTCAAATCTTCATTCTCTTCCTTTAACGTTTAATATCTGCATTTTTAGACATTGCTAATAGTAATATAAAGTTATATAAAGCAATAAAGCTGTGAGTTAAAAAAAAGTACGTCCGTTCAGGTCGAACGACGAATTAAATAATCCACTTGAGTCGCTTTATGAAAAGTTTTGGATAAAATCCTATTTTAAAAAAGTCAACCCTACAGTTTATATGCTGAACATTGACCTCTAAGATATCTCCTGTGGCAATTAGTGGGTGCAAGTACTTGCATAGTTCAGAAGCAATATAACCAACATCACATGTGCCCATCCAGTTCCATAGTCTACATCACTTGCAATTGCACTTGGGACCATTGGATTCAATGGCTCTGGTCTTATTCTTACATTCACTGGTTTATCTTGTCCATGAAGACCAAGGCATACCTGTTCCAAATGATGTTGGTAATTTTTCTCATCTTCGATGCACTTAAATGGTACAGCATGAGTGATTTTGTCCTCGTCACTTTCATCCTCATCACTTAACTGGTCACCATGCACTTTCTGCCCTATCACCTTCATTACCATATCCATCCTGACCAGGTTCAAGACCAGCCAACCACTCAAGTAGATCTCTTTCTACAAAATCAAAACAAGAAAATTTTTATTTTATTATTTTATACATACACTGTAATCTCTAAAATTAGCAATCTAATGCAAAAGTGTGTCACTATTTACAGTAATATTAGAACAACACATAAATGTGGCAATATTTTACAGATGAAAATTGAAAAATATAACTATACTGTATGCACATATATGTAAAAATCTATCCATACAAACAGGCATCATATTTCAGCAAAAATTTATTAAACAATTCGTTTAACTCGAAACATGAACATCACAGTGACACAGTACATATACACACACAATAGGGTCAAACTAGAGGCATTAATGCATTATAAACACAAGTATGACGCCATAATTCTGTACAGTGTATTTATAAAATTACAGTACAAGAATAAAAACAACAAAGCGGAAATTTGACTATAAAATAACACGATAACTGTAATGCACTGTAGTATACCAACCTTAAATATTGCGCTTGTTTTCACGTTGATGATACACGGAGATTTAACGCCATCCAACTTAGAAAGAAGAGCCTCGTTATTGGAAATATATTATAAAATTAAAATGAATTCCTTTTCTTTAAAGCTAAAATGACAGCATGTCCCGTGCAATTTTAAAAAAGGTAAACTTGATATAGCAAAACACAAGTCATAATGATGATCGCAACAATACAGCAATAACATGCTGTTTTCACAAAGTATCGCAGCCTGACACTCTTGTCGTTCCAAAGCTTCCATATTGATTTAGTCAGAGAGATGTTCACTCCTCGACAGTCAACAGTCAATGAAGCCACGCGTGGAATTAGGCGCTCAATACCCATGATGCTTTGCGGCCTACTGTCCAACCTCTGATGGCAACTACTATTATTTTAAACATGAAATACTTCATGTAGAATTTCTATACTTCATCTGTTAAGAAACGCCAGGGGTTGCTGCATGCATGTATTTCTAGTAGCACTTTAGGAAGGTGTTAAATGTCAAAGGTGCTAAATTTGCACTTCTAAATCAAGAGTGTGGGTATTGTCGTGGGCAATGTCGTGAGTAAAGTCGTGGGTAAAGTCGTGGATCATAAAATGTGCTAAAACGCATTTTTTCACGAAATATTATTTTTAATTTTAATATTTTTTTAACAGAAAAGGAAATGTTTCCGTTTGTAGCTTTGGAATCGTTATATATAGTGCATATAACGGTTGTCGCAAATGACTATGTCGACTATTGCATATAATGCAAAACTCTGAGTCGAGCACTAATTTTTGTGGCGTTCGAAAGCAATTCTGCAATTTTGTTCGAAAGCAATTCTTTGTTTGAAATAACGTAATTTTGGGATTTCAGTTGACGGGCAGGTATAACAAAAAACGGCTATTTTAATGTATTGATCGAGTTTAGAGACAGTTTAAGACTCAAAAGAAGAATTACCGTTCAGTTTTTCTTGCTACAACCATCCTCACTCACTGATAGGAAAAAATCGTCCACAAGTTGTTTGATGCCCGTCATTTGGATGAAAAGTCACGTGATGGCAAACAAAGAATTTCCGGCTTTTTGCCAACCGAGCACGCCAGCCGACTATGGAACTTTCTTCATCGGCTTTTTGGGGAGAATATTACAGAATAAGGTACCTCTAATCTCTTGATGCGGACAGCCCTGAGAAGTGACCAGGCCACTCACTCATTGTATCGTTTGCCAAATTGCTGTTACTAGCTAAAATAATGCGCAGTATTGTTATATGAGCACTTTTAAATTAAACCAAATAATCCAACGTATATGCGTTTCACTGCATGTTACTAACATATCCGGCATATAGCTACAGTATACAGTAACAAACATCTAAAACTAAGTCTACTACTGGTTTACAAGATTGCCGTGTGGGAGTTCGTTTAAATTATTATAGTACTCATCAGGGCGCTTATATATAGGGCGGTGAAACGGCTGTAGGCGCGCCGATCAATGTGTGACGCAAAGGACTGGTGGCGAGCCTTTGTTGTTGCCATAGCGACATTGTTTAACAACAAACTAAAATGGCGGGTACGCTTGAACAAGAAGCTATAGGTCCTATAGAGCAGTGTTTTGACGAGGATATGGAAAGTAAGCAAAAAATTCCAATGCCGTACAATAGTAGACTAGATTCTGCTACTGTGCTATCAGGTATTAATAAAAATATTTTAAAGTCTCTGCTTGAAACGCTTGCCAAAGCTTACAAACCGATGTCAAAAGAGCAAAGAGCAATTACATTGGCTTTGCAAGCTTTGGTCGATAGTACTAAACACACGGCTATTGAAGAGTTCTTACAAAGTGTTTCGAAGCTGATCCAAGGTTGTTTTCGTGAGACGGAAGCCTTACCAAATGCTCAGAGAGCAATAGCGCTCGAGAAAACGTTTTTGGAAACACGATCGAACGGTGTCCACTATTTGGCCGTGAAGCAATCGTGGGAAAAGTTCATTTCCGATCCAGACGAAAGTGTAGAGGTCCAGGTCGAAATTTGTCCGGTTTCTGTGGATGTATTGCTGCAGCAAATTCTTCAGCACTTTTGGTTTATGAGAAGTAATAGATACGGCCATGGTATTGGTACTGAAGATACGAACCCTTCGAATGTGGATTGTGCCTCTGCCTCTACTAGTATAAACGACGAAGACTTGTCTGAAGACAATGACAGTATTCGAGATCATGCAGGGTGGGCAATTAAAAGGGCAAGGGATGTGATATTTAAAGGACAACATGAACTACCAGCAAAGGAATCTGTTGGCGAAGAATCGCAAGTCGTTTATGCCAATAAATCAGACGCATTGTCAATCATATCTCTTTTAGGAGAAGACAGGAAGCAGCCGGATGAAAGCTACAGATTTTATGTTTATGAGCATGTCGTTCCTTTTTTTATTTTTTTGCATATTTTCGTCGAAAATCTTTTAAGCCCAATCAATATCGTAAGGGAAAAAGGAAACATTTTGAAATATTGCCTTGACCAAATGTCAGTAAATAAGGAACTGAGAGATAGATGGAATGAACTTACACCCAATTCAGATATGCGAGCATCAGTTGTTGTTTTGCAACGAGTGGTCACTTTTTTCATTAAATCAAAGCAACAAATTTTTCGGGAAAAAGAGGGTCTGAAACCAAATAAGAAGAGTGTTGCTTTACGACAGCAAATCAGGCGACCAGAACAAAAAGGCTCAGCCGTGTCCCCTGGCCCTACTCAGACGAACGAACATGTAGGAACCTTGAGAAGAAATTTCACAAGCTCTGGTTTGAATGTATTCTTGGTACATCTTCAAACTTTGGCCCTGTCTGAACAAGAACATACATTGAAGAATCTGCAAGGGAAAGAAATAGCAAAAATTTTGAAGGCTTTGGGGCAACCTGCATTTATGGGAAAGAGAAAAGAAAAACAAATAAATACCCTTCTTGAGGCAGTAAAGGGAGGTCTGGTATGTGCTAAGTTTCCTGATGAGGTATGCATTTAAAACAACACCATAACACATTTTAGAGCAAGAAAATTTATTGATCATATACTGTAATATGAATAATTATAAATATGTTATCTACAGTATATTTTTAATAATGGAACTGTCAGGACTTGAAGTTCAACAAACAAATAATAAACAAGCAGTGGCATAGCCAGGGAGGGGCAGATATTTATTTCTGGAACTGTTCTTAGCCCCCCCTGAGAATGTAAGAAATGCTGTTATAGAGTCCCATTGTAGGCACTCATATTCAGAATGTATTTTGTTTTGCACCCCCCCCCCCAGGTCAACATCTAGGCTATCAGGCTATGCCACTGCAAACAAGGTTAATAATCTGACCTATATTAATCTTAACACCATCCTCTTCAATAATTCACACCACCCTCCCCAGAAGATCCCAGGGATAAGGTTACTGAAAAATGTGTTGTTAATATGAAATGGCTCGATCTCTTTTCTATTATATCCCCCTTAGGGAAAGAACATAATGCCTAGCAGTAATATACACCTTATGGAAAGTACTCGGCCTTGGCTTTAAAACCTTGTATTTGTAATTGAGATTTCGGGTTTAGGGCCGTTTATCTTGCTACAGGTGACAACACATTTACAAAATCATACAGTTGTATTAGATAATATAAAAGACCTTACGTCATAAATATTAGGTCATTAGTAACAAGATAAAGGGTTCTACACAGCTAAAAACGATCAGGTTGTTGCAATATTGATGAAAACAGGATTGAACAATGTTGTGCGGCCCACATTGTTCACAGTTGTCAACAATATTGAACAATATTGTTACACCCGATTCAGGCTCAACAATATTGTTCAATATTGTTGGGCCACACAACATTGTTCAATCCTGTTAATTAAACAGCAGGCTCATAATTTTTACGTGTGTATGATAGCCAATATCACAATTATAAAACGAGGCTCTATAGCCAAGGCACTTTCTGAAACAGTTTAGTGTACTTTTGCAAATAAGGGACTGGTCATTAATAATGGGAGGGGGCAGTGAGTGAGAAATTCAAAACAATTCACTTTTTCTTGAGACCGTCCCCAACTGCATGAAATTTATTTTTAGGATGCCCCCATGAACTCCATAATCCATGTCGAATAATTAATATTCTGTGGTCCTATTATTATTTTATTCTGACATATTTTGATTTTGAGTCTGCCCCCATTCAGACTAAAAATAATACAGACAGCCACTTTCTCAACCACTGCCCCCATTATTAATTAATGACTGGTCCCTAAAGGCTGCCTCTTATATCTTGACCTTAAATGTGACCATGTCCTACTTTTATTTTGTAGCTTGGAAAATAGAAAAGTGATGCATTAAAGATGAACTGGCCACAAATTGCTAGAAAAAATGCCTTGGACATTATTTCTCTTTGGAATACTACCATCACACTTCTGTCCTGGACTAAATTCAGTATCATCAACTTCATAAACATTAGTTTGTTTCTGTGATAGGCGTTTGGCTTCAGAGTAACTTATCATACTATTAACATTATATCCGTATGTATACGCTGTCATGTTGTTTGTGCCACCACACGCCTGCCTTTGCATTGAGAAGAATGACTCTACTATATCTTGGCTTACTCTCTTAGGAATGATGTAGGGATGACTGCCATGGAGGGATTTAAATTCAGGAGTACCAATGAATTTGATCAATTCTTTAAATCCATTGATTGTGACCTGAAAATATAATTTACTGACTGAGAATAAGTTCATATGCAGTCATCATTGGATTAACCAATCAAGTTTCCACAGTATACACCCAAGGTCGTTGCTAAAGGGGATGGACACTATTTATCAAATTGTTTAAATGCAAAAGAATCAACAACCATGCACTTATAACAATTGAATTCTAACATGAACCCTAAATAAAGCAATCAATTAGTTTAATTAAATTTTGAAAACCTCCCTCTCGTCCATACGTTGGGGTGCATTCTAACAAGAGAGGCTAAGCAAACATACTGTAGGCTAACCATAACTGTGTTAAGTATATGATTTTAATCATTTTTTACAATAATTATGAGCTGTAACTGTAAGCTTCCAAAATTCTGGCCAAATTCACCATGTTTGATTTTGACTTTTTTCGAAATAATTTTTTTGTAGTTTGATTGTATATCCAAACTATAATATATACATATATATATAATTTACCTGTATATCAAACATTGTTTGCCAACTAATAAAATGACATGATTGTTCAGATTTTGTATTAAAGATGGAGGCCAATTCATCCCTCCAATTGTTGAAAAATTGGAGGACATTATCTAGAGCTTTGATACGCGAGTCTTCGAGTGATGTCAATGGTTTTGTATCATTGAAGACATTCCACAATGTCTCACAGTTTAGAATATATTTCTGAGTGGATTCTGTGGCATCATTATCATATTTAGCCATGTCCTTTTGAACCTTTGAATTTAGAACGTGAACTGCCAGCTTCACGCGCATTTTACTTAAACTATCTAAGTGCACATGTGAACACCTAATGTCTGTTGAAAATATATGTCTTCGCTTGTCTCGCAAGTAAACAGAATAAATATGTTCCCACAAAATGTTCTTTGAATTTAGTGACAAGCACCTAGTGTATCTGGGAGAGTTTTCCTTGTAGCCACTGTTATAAATATTGTTACGGAGCTTCTTGATAAGGTGGGGAGGATCAGACATAAAAAACAAAGGAAAGTTTGAAAATGGATTGTTGATCTTGCTTACTGTTTCGCTACACCCATTGATTGCCATAAATGCTCTGTTTTCGGAAGCTCCGTCACAACACGTAAGAAGGACTTCGAAGTTGAAAGAATGAAGCAAACTAACTCCTTGCCAAAATATTCGGTTTAAGTCATGAGCTGAGATTCCATTTGTAAAGAAATATGAACAAGGGAATTGAAAATTACTAAACAAACTTTTAAAGTAGAATTGTAATACATGTGTTGCCAGGCTTTCTTGTACAGAAGATTTTGTCACATTGCCATTTGAAGTGACACTTTTATTGCTACCTATGTCGGTGAAACCAATCAACTCCCATGATGATGGGTCAAAGAGCAGTCCCTCTTTAATTTTCACTTCGTCAAAGAAAAGACCACCAAACTTTCCAACTTCTGAAACACCCTGTTTTGCAAAACTTTCTCTCATAGCATCCAGTACAGATATTTGCCACCCAGATTGTGACGAACAAAAATTTTTATAGTCAGAAAGAGTTCTGCCACTTGGAAGTTTTAAGAATCCAGATTCACGAAGGTCAGCATAGATGCTATGTGATTTAGAATAAATACGAAGGCACCACTTCAAAACCAGAGGATGCCATCTCATTTGTCTGGAAGGCATATTCAAAGCTTTGGCTTGGTCTTGCAAGAGTGTTAGGAAAAATGTATCCGATTCATTTCCGGTATGTTCAATTATGTGAGATTTAAGAAGTTTCTTTTTGCAAAACGTTTTGTCACAGCCAATCCATTTACATTGATATGTCCTATTAATTGGAGCTTTATCCAAAACTGTTGGTATATGACAAGTAGATATATGCTTCTGAAGTAATTCTGCTGTTTCAAACTTGTGTTCTAATGGCAAACAATCCTCCCAATAACAAACATTAGCTTCATTTTTCTCTATATTTTTACTAATACCTTCGTACAACTGTTTAAATAATGTTCTGAAATCAGAATCAGTATTGTTTCCCACTGTGCTCATTTCTTGCTGATATTGCTCCAGCCGCTTTAACTTAACCTGCATTCTATGGATCTTTGCTGCCATTTCTTTACTATTTTCAATAAGCCTTTCTTTTGACATGTAGTTAAATCGAGTATGTTTAGAGTTACTGTTATTATTCTGATTTCTAGACTTAAGGGTCCTCATGTAGTGCTCAGTTTGTATACATTCTTTGCAACACATATCTTTAATAAGAAAAGAACACTTTGTGGATCTTATACACTTCTTATCAGCAGATGTGGGCATTGTTTCGACAAATGCACCAGGGTCACCATGAATGGTTTTAAACACTGGAGAAGTGCTATCCTCAGGCAGCAGACTCATATACTTTTCGACTAAAATTCCAGAACAAATGTTCAGTTTTTCAAGTGACTTCATTACCAAGTACAACTGATTTTTGCAATGTATTGCTTGTGGTATGCTGTCTATCAAGTCTAAAGATTTGTGTTTATCCTTAACAACAAAGTAATAACTACCATCTGCCAATATAACTATCTCATATACAACGTGGCTGTTGTCCAGATAAAATAAATGCACTTCTGCTTTATCGACATCAGCAATAACTTTCCATTTGGGAAATTTGCTTTCTATTGTGCAACTTAGCTTATCAACCTTGTATGCAAGACTTTGGGATCTTTCATTTTCCGCCAAACTAGAGAGACATTCTGCCTCCAAATCCTTTTTGAAGTCATCAAAATTTTGAATGTCACTATTAAGACTTGAATCCAGAAACAGACTATGAATTGTTTGCTGGTGCTTTGAAACAATTCTTTCAATGTAATTAGAATAAAATTTCCATCTAAGACATCCATTGAATTTTCCAAGACCCTTGCTTAAATTATTAATTGATCGGTAGTAATAGTTTAGAATGTGTTTGCATTTGAAACAGACACCATATACCTTGTAAATTGCAAACGATATACCTGCATACTTCTCTGGGGAACAGCGTGCTAAATTAGTACCAGGAGGTATTGAAACATTCACTAAAGCGTATAGCAGAAGTTCTTCAGGTTGTAATGTTATTTTACCACAATACTGTATTGACGTTGGCTCGACATTTGAGATATAATTTTCAAAGTCAGCACAAGGCTGCAATCTTTCGTTTGCTGACACATTTGTTGTGTCTTGTTTTGTCGAAGTAGCAGCTTCTTCATCGATTGAAACTTTAACTCTTTTAATACCAGGTGAGGCAAGTTGCTCGCCTGCTCTTCTTTTACAATAAGTATCGCACATTTTCAATGTTTTTCAATGTTGATACTCAATTTTTTTAAAGAAAAATCAACAAATATGAACCGTTTACTTTCGCGAAAGACATGGCGTAATACGTTTTTGAAATCATCATATGCACACGTATCTTTCACGTTCGATAGAATACAACTCGTACTAAATTTTAGCTGGTAGGTGTTCTTCTCATATGAATGTCCACAATTGCTCAACTCAGATTTGTGTCTTCTCAATGAATCCTAACTACAGGTCATCTTGGCTAGCTGATCACAAAATTTCGAAGTTTGGACGAAACTTTTTAAACCATTGCGCTCCGCATATGTCCAAGCAATTCGAGTTTGTTAAAATGGCCGAAGGGCAAAATATGTATCAAGCTTACAGTTACCTTAAGTAAATTCTGTAAAAAGCTCGTGAAATTATTGATATAATAACAATAGTCGTAACATAAGCCAAAATACAAATTTTGTTTACTTCCTTTCCAGTGAAATGATTGCCAAACGAGACAAAAAGGAACCCAAAAAATACCTAAGTTCTATTGGTTATGGTTACGAACGCTCAACTCCGATTAGTATGAAAACGTTATGATATTAAACAACACAACTATAATTATTGACATACCTGAATTTCGAAGTTTGGACGACTTGATAACATGCCCAAATGTTGTTTTGAAAATTTCCCTCCATCGAAGCCATCAAAAGCCAGAGTCATTATCCTCAATATTTCTTTTAAAGTTCAACATTATTAGCCAAACTAACATTCACACCCTTAACTAATTACTACTTCGTCGTTACAGTGCAAAAACACCCTCAAGAATTTCGTAGTTAATGAAAAAATAGCGAAAATACAACAGCAGGAAAAATCACGCTCCTTGTCAACTTTTGTCGAAAAGCACGCTCGTGCCAGTCCTTTTCCGCATCACACATCGATCAGCGCGACATCAGCGCGTTGCACCGCCCACTATATAAGCGCCCTGGTACTCATTTATAATGTCACACGGGGAAAAGATTTTATCACCAAAGTCAAACATGCATGTATTATGTTCGCGAGATCCACTGCGTCGTGTTGGTTCTGGAGCGTAATCGTGTGACGGTTGCCAGAGCACAGGCAAAGCCGCCTCGGTATAAATCATGTATGTAACGAGAAATCTTGCTTATTTCAGTCTAATAAAATCAACTTTTTTCTCTGATAATGTACGCAATATGCTGCGCATTTTACATTTAACAAAGTACAGCGAGTTTGATTTTATCCGCAAGTCATATTCTGTCAAACATAACAGGCTGGCGCGCTCGGTTGGCAAATAGCCCGACATCGCACAAATCATTTCGGTTTTCTGTCGCGAAATCCCAAATCGTACCAATTTATTGGAATATTTCCGAACTTCACATACAGATGAAATGTTTGTTTATCTTTAAGGGCCACAAACATATACTAGGAGATAAAATGTTACTATTTTGGGGCTCGAGCGTTGCATGGCCACTTACAGCGTAGAATTTATAGCTCAATATGTTTGTATCATATACAATCCACATGGTCATTCGCGATATCCGCGATAGGGATTATAACACTTCCAAAGCTAATAAACCTATAACTTTACCCTCAAGCAATACATCCATACAAAACGGAAACATTTACTTTCCTAACAACATAAAACGCTCACTGAGTTTCCAGCGATATACATACCCTTTTCTAGATATATACCTAATTGGAAACTCAGTGAGCGTTTTATGTTGTTATTTTATTTCCTGAGTACGGGTCTTCGACCAATTTCATTGTTATTTACTTTCCTGTTTAACCTCGGTATAGATAACAGCAAGAAACAGCATGCATTTTATTGTATTACTGAAGATTTGTTGCGTTAAATTGTCCTGTATTTATTTTGCGCATAAAAGGAAAAATTACGAAAAAAAGATATTAAAAAGAAAATAAATAATATTTTCGTGAAAGAATGCGTTTTTAGCATGACCCACGACTTTACTCACGACTTTTAACACACAACATAAAGGGACACTCTTAAATCAACTCCCAAATCTATGGTGCTAAATCAACCCCCAAATCTGTGTTAGATTAACACACTAAAATTAACAGTGTATAGTATCAATCGTTTTCTGTGCGAGCCGTGCTTAATCCTTGACCGGATTAAGCAAGTCTAAACACAAATACGACCAAAGATTCTTTGAATGTAATATTTTCACTTATTTATTCTTCAGGCAATTTTAGCTGACATATATTATTGATCGACATGCCCGCGAAGCGTCCGTACGCGACAACGGAACGCCTCGCTTATCTTTGCTGTACATTATTATTATGATATAAGACACATAAAGATCGAAATATTAATATATCACAAAACAAAGTAAAAAAAAACTAAAAAGGATTGTATTGCATTGCATTGCATTGCATCGCATTGCATTGCATTGCATTGCATTGCATTGCATTGCATTGCATTGCATTGCATTGCATTGCATTGCATTGCATTGCATTGCATTGCATTGCATTGCATTGCATTGCATTGCATTGCATTGCATTGCATTGCATTGCATTGCATTGCATTGCATTGCATTGCATTGCATTGCATTGCATTGCATTGCATTGCATTGCATTGTATAAGCTTGAAAAATATAATGACATTTCAACTGGCAAATGAACCGCCGAAGTTGTACGTCGATAATAACAACATTGATCAACACTCAACACAATTTTTCACAGACGCTGTAATCGAGAATATACAACCCCAAATTGCCACAAATATTCTACCCTAGGGTGGTACTATAGCTTTCAAAATATTATGGAAGCGAATTTGTGTGATAATTTTTGTTTGGAAAGTGTCGCACATCATGTATTGTTTACCTCGCAGTTACAGATTCACAAAATTCTTCCAAAATATTGCATGTACAAGCTTCGGTTGACCATCAATAGCAAGATAATTTTACGCACTTTTTAAAAATGTGTAAGTTGTCTTGCTTGCAAGCTTTTTCCTTCCTAAACTCAAGAACAAATGAACTGTTATTTAGGGATTGGTACGATACTGATACCAAATACCCATACTAGAAGAAGTATCGATAGTTGATACTTGCGAAAAATATTGATAATTTTGATACCACTTGAACGTGCGATATGTTTGTTCAGCATTTATAGAAGTCACAGAAATATAGGGCACTGTATGCAATATTTCACAAAATAATAACAGGGTCACATGAACCCACACTTTCACCTTGAGGCTCGTGATTGTATTTGTAAAAGGGAGAAGACATGAGTTGCGAATAAAGACAGCCAAGTTCATGATCACTATTATTAAACTTGATGACGTCATCGCTAGTTTGGAGTTGTGACACCATCATTAATTAAATCGAAGTATTGGTATCGGTATCGATCAAAATGTATAGTATTGTACTTGGTATCGTATCGAATTAAAAATCCCTACTGTTATTGACTCGCATTGCTACTGCATTGACAATTTATTGATCTATTGGGTGTGGCTTTTGGCAGAGGCTAGCCGCTCACACGTTTTCGTTTCCGCCTGTGTCTCTCTAGCTCAGCGGTTGAAGCCTCTGCGGAGGGAAGAGCACAGCTGTCAAAACAATATGGGGGCTTATACTCAAAACCAGCTATGAGTTTGTACTTCAATCTTAATCTTCACAAAATATATTACTTCTGGCGTCATTAAACCTCAATCTTAAGGTCTCTAATGTCTTGTTCTTTTACTTATCCATCAATAGGTCTCAAGAGAAAAGGAGTAAACGTTGCAATCTCTCCTGATGATCGCCATGTCGTATCGGTATCGAAAGATTCCTCGTCATCCTGGATAAAGGTACAGTAAAGGCCAAAAAGCATGCATGTGAACTGATAGGCCTTCTCCCATAAATTTGTGTCGAAAATGTCCGCGGCACGTCTGCCTGGAAATTATTGTCGAAAGTCTTCCGTTTTGAATTTTTCAGGATGTTCCAGAATAAATATCCCTGTGTAGGAGACCTGCAGGGTTGAAGATAAAATTTTCACATGGTCTCCCTCCTACCAGGGCGTCAAAATGCAATTTTTGGCACGGAACATTCTCGTCTCCAGAGCCATTCTTACTCGGTCACTCATTGAAAATTATGCTCTGGGTTAGACGACTAAAGGGAGAGATATGATTGGCTTCTCAGAGAACTGCTATTTTGCAGAAGTTGAGCAGTTTTCGCTAGGCAAAATTATTCTATCAAAATATGTCAACATAAATACTTCGTTTCTTCATAATACTTCTCTGTGAAAATTGTTACGGGTTCTGAAGCGTCCCAATTCAAGAGTATGCGCTTTAGAAACTACTGCAAGTTTTCCTGCACTTCCGGTTCCGTGTATCCCAGGGCATAGGCCGAGAGGCCCTGGGAACGAGGATGGGTACGGAAGTGTAAAGAACTCTGCCATATTTCCAAGGAGGCTAAAGTTTCCCCAGGGAGGCAGTTGGCGCTCTACCTTTACCACGCGCGCAAACTAGTGGCGTTTCGTATAAATCGGTGTTGGTCATCGTGGTCTCAGGCGGGCTGGAACATCATGGCTAAGATCGGAATGGCAAAGTCCGACCCACGCGAATCGAGCGTGAGAGAAAATCCAAAACTCCCGAGAAATCTCTAAAAATTCCACAGGATTTTCAAAATCCCAAAAATCTCGAACACTTGTTTGTAGTGAACATGCACCCCTCGATTAAGAAAATGTGGTTCAGATTACACTATAATCTTATTATTTGCTCTGATGAAGATCCCGGTTTACAGATCGAAAGCTTTGGGGACAAGCCAATTTATCTTTTAGTTATAAAAAGACGGTTTATTGGAAAACGCGGACAACGGACTCCGGAGAACGGACGCCGGAACGAACAATGGACAACGGACACCGCACAATCGTTGGAAAAGACAAACAATCAATGGAAAAGACGGCCAAGCGTTGGAAAAGATGGATAAACGGTTGAAAAGACGGTTCCTTTTTAACATGTAAGAAAAAGTTAATTAATTAACCGTATTCCATGACACACGACGTTGGCAAATCTTTCGTTTTTATTAGTTGAATAATAACTAAATCTATATGTATCTACATAATAGTTTACGCATTCAATTGATGTGATAGATAGTACTACTGTAATTGTTTACAGAATCATGTTGAAGAAAAAAAGGTAAACTTGAGCAGTATGTGGACATTCGATCAATTTTATGGTTTCCAGCCCGTTCAAAGCCTGATGGGTCCGTTTAAAGGTGTAATTCAATTGTTCTACGTCTAGGATAACACATTAGTCATACGTTACGGCCAATAGGATAGAATTTTCACAGTGCAATATCAACAGTAAAACAAAAATTATAGGTTAAACGTTGTACACAAATTATACAATATGGCGATAAATTCCGGTTTGCGAACACAAAATCACACAAAACATCGCGAAAAACGTCTGACTGTGCCTTTGAAACAAAAACATGGCTATTTGACATTTAGTTAAACAAATTAAAAGAATGTAGTAGTGAGTAGACTAGATATTAAATTATAAGTCTCTTAACTATTAAAAAGGAAATAGAAAGTAAATAATAAAATTATCTTATCTCAGCGGGAATGCATCAGTTAAACAAGTTAGCACTTGTAAAATTAATTGTAAGAAATATAAGCAATTTCTCAGAAATATGATTTTTGAAGGTGTGAGTAAAGTTTTACTCTACGCAAAAATTACGCGTGGTACGTATTAACAAAACATACTGAAAAAACGCGAGTCAAATGAACGTTCGTATCCTTGCATGATGGTTTATAGTAGAGTACCTCACAATTTACGGAAGACAATCATAATTCTTGAATTTGCAGACTATACTTACTCTTGTTTCTAAGTTTGACGAAGTTTTGACGAAGTTTTGATCTGCGAATTCGCTCGCGATCTTACAGGAACGACGCATGAGAAAGTCACTTATGACCGCCAACCATTTTGAGATTTCCGGTATCAGTCGCACAGACTTTTTCGCGGTGTTTTCAGTAAATCAATATATACAATAAACTGACTACGCATTCCTTAGAAATATATATATAGTATATAGTTTTGGCGCCTGCAGTGAATACGTTTGTTTGTTAAATTAAACTGTATTGTTGGGTTAGTTTCTTTAACATACGCAAGATTCTATATTTGTAACAGCCATTGAATGCATAAACTATTGCGCGCTAGATATAAAGTAGATTTAGTCATTATTCCATAACGAAACGAAATACTTGTCAACGTCGTGTGTCATGGAACACGGTTTAATTAATTAAAGTTTTCAGTCTTAAAGGTTCAAATAGGGTCCGTCTTTTCCAACGTTTGTCTGTCTTTTCCATCGTTTATCTGTCTTTTCTAACGCCTGTCCGGTGTCCTCATTTTCCAATAAACCTAAAAAGACCGAATATTTGTAGACCTTGTATTATTAGAATTATACAAACAACTTATTAATAGGCAATTTTTTCTATGTTGCATATTTGCGATGAAAAGCGTTCAAAACCTAAAATCTTTTTGGCGTACCTCGTGGAATTACTTTGTTTTAGCTTTATTTTCTAGTTCGTACATTCAGCTACCCTTTTAAATGTATACCCCGGTGGGAAACAAAAATAGTAAAAAACTGTAAATTTATAATACAACTATAATTGATGCTATAGAATTGATGTCGTTTATGTTTACAGCAATATAAGCTTATAGTTATAAACTTACTGAACTGCAAACGTCGTTTTCTCTTTGGCGTATCAGCTAAAACGAGTTTGGGTAATTGTTGAGGGTCAAAAGTCCAGGTCGAGGTTCGAAAGTCCAAGTGTAGGGTCGAAAGTCGAAGTCGAGGGTCGAAAGTCAAAGGTCGAAAATGGAAAATATTAATTTTTTATCATTAGACAATACATTTTTAGAATAGTACATATTTCGCATTTGTTGTCAAAATTTTAAAGGTTCTCCTGATAACTAACTTTATTAATGTTAGTACAGAACAATGCCTTGGCCTTAGGGCATAATTAGGTTCCTTTTTGTTTTTCGAGAGAGTGTACAACTACTAAAAATATTCGAGAACGGCGGTGATTCGAAAATATATTGTATTTTATTGTACTATCAGAACGAATCGAGTCCCAGCGCAGCAAAAATCTCTCATACATAATGATGGTGAGATCATTCTGAACCAAACTAAAATCACCCTGTTATAAAGATTCGTGCTTCATGCCAGTTATTTTCCACAGTACAACTCAACTCTCGATTTTATTTAATATACACATTTATGCAACGTTATCGCAACTAAATTATGAATATGAAACTATCAATCCCAACATGTGCACTTCCGGTGCAGACATGTAAACACGATGTCATAAAATATATAAATATAACTGTTTCTCACGAGGTTGGGAATCTTCGAGTTAAGCCCTTCGAGTAAAGTCCCCCGAGTTAAGCCACGACCACGACCTGTTTTGCCATGACCACGCCCTTTTTCAAAAAGGGCTTGACTCGAAGAACGAAACAGATTTGGGTTATTCGAGTTAAGCCCCTGGGCTTAACTCGAAGTTTGACAAAAAAGTTCTTGCTCGAGTTAAAAAACAATCGCAACTGTTATCGTCAACAATATTTTAGGTTTTTCATAATAATTAATATTAAATTTAACAACAGGTAATTACTTTTAGTGGATCGTTTATCCACAACAAAACAACAACTATTGTTTCAATGTTCATCATAGCAGTAAATGACTCAATTTATTCGTCATCTTTTATTGGGAGTCCTCGGTTTCAAAGGAGACATATATCTTCAGATGATAGCTGTGAATCTTGCAGGATGTTAACTTCACTCGGTGGTGTTTGAATATTGCTGGCAAATGGTTTTATTGCAATGCAACGCGGGTCTGCGCAGAAGTAAAATTGACGACTGACGGCAAACTTTTGATTACGTGGAATGTATAGCCCATTCACAACAATATATGGCCAAGTAAAAAAAATTCCCCGTTTCTCATCAGCGCCCGCATTAGGAAATAGCCGCCGAAATTGTATTTCTTTTTTATATAATTCAAACCAAAGGCCTCATAAAACGTTTTAAAAGAGTTACCTGTAGTACATTCGTGACAGAGTTCTGACCACTGAGCTGTATAATACCTGGAGGACCTGCTCCTATACTTCGTTCAGTCAACGAAGTGTCGCCAAAAACATGGCGGATTTTGAGGCAAAATGACGCCATTGCCATGACAACACTTCCGAAATCCTCATGGTAGTTACCACTGACCAGGCTCAATATTGAGCCCACGGCAGTTTTCACACCTATTAGGATGTTAGGGTTTGTAATCCAAGTGAGAATATATACATTTTAAGACCTAACCAGGAACGACTACGAAAAATGCAGCACAGTGCAAGAACTAAGTTTTCACACCTCCCTGGTTTTTGCATAAAAGTTTTGCAGATAATATAGTTCTTGTTGTTTTGAATCGGTTTTTAAAATATTTTCGATATAAATTTTCTACCTTTGATATGCCAACCTCGTTTCCAGGCTCTTTCCTCTACGTTCTCGGCTGGAGAAAATACCCTGGCTGGGGCTGGTCACGTGACTCATAGAAAATTGATAGCCTAATAGGGGGATGGGAAAGTCTCATATTACATGTTTCCACTTCCGCACTTCACACTTCGATTGCAAGGAGCGGCTGCCTGAACAACTGTATATTATTATTATTATTATTATTATTATTATTATTATTATTATTATTATTATTATTATTATTATTATTATTATTATTATTATTATTATTATTATTGGAAGTATTCCCCGTAGGGCTTTTCAATACTTATTTGCAAATGATACTTTTTACAGCTTAATTAATGTTTATAAAAATGATTACAAAAGGAGTTTATAAAAAGTTTAAATGTAGTTATTATTATTATTATTATTATTATTATTGGAAGTATTCCCCGTAGGGCTTTTCAATACTTATTTGCAAATGATACTTTTTACAGCTTAATTAATGTTTATAAAAATGATTACAAAAGGAGTTTATAAAAAGTTTAAATGTAGCGCAATAAATAAATTTCAATAAGAATAAGTTTCTTGCATGCATGTTACAACTAGTGTTTATATATACTGTAAATATTCAAGTTTCAAAATATCGATTTAGTAAGAACTCTTTTAACTTGATTTTAAATGTTGCTAATGAGAGTTTTTTCAACTCATTGTCTAAACTATTCCATAACCCAATAGCTCTACAGGGTGTATCAAAAAAAGCGCAATCCTCGACTGAGTAATAATACTTTACGTTATTGCGATTGGAGATAAAAAAATTGAGATGGAATAACAAATCGTTCTCATGAAAATAACTGATTTTTTCATTAAAACAAAAAAATGTTGCATTTTATTAAATGGATTGTAACAATAAGTATAATTACGGCTTTTCTTCCACTATTTTAAACTCAGTTTGAAACTTCAAATGCGATATAATTTTGGCTTTGACCATCTAAGCTGACTGACATCAACTTGCTATAATTTCTGTTTACATTACATCGCAATTCGATGACACTCTGGCTCAGACACCAGAATGTTTTGACGATTTTTAGCATTCGTTTAGGATTTTCGAACAACCTGGTCTCTTTTAAAATACTTTTAATTTGTTCTTACGTGGTTTTCCAGATGTAGTGACGACAATATTAAAGTTTAAAGAAGAAAATTCTAACATTTAAACTGACTAAACAATAACATAGTAAACTTGCATAATTAAACAGCAACTAAAAATGATAGGTTTTACTAAATCTTTTCTTGTGCAATTATTACTAGCATTGGAGACAAGGATAATAGTTTGTTTGAAAAAGAAAAGAACAGGCTTTCAAGTAAGCCTAAAACCGTTTAACTAGAAATAGTATTTCGAAAGTTATTAAGCACAAAAGATGAATTGCGTTTATTTTGATACACCCTGTATATCGAAAACTTCTTTGTCCTGTTGTGGTTGAGCATAGGGGAATATGTAGTGCTTCATTGTTTCTTGTGGCGCGATTGTTTAGTTCCTTAATTACGTTTAAGAAATAGGTCGCACAGATATGCTGGAGCGAGACTATTTATACATTTGTAGATCATGACCAAATCTTTGAACAACAGGTGCTCTTTAACAGGGAGCCAACCAATATCTTTAAGGATTGATGTAATATGATCAAATGTTTTCCCATTAGCTATAATTCTGCACGCAAAATTTTGGACGGCTTGTAGTTTCTTAGTATTTGAAGAACTCGTAATGTCTCGTATTTGACCAAACTGTTGAACAGTAATATAATTTACCCATAACTACCGCGCAGATGATGTAAATCAGCGTCTTTTGATCAAAACAATGTTTGACATGATTAATTTGACATAGTTTAGCCATGCACTCTGATGAGAGCTGGGTTATATGTTCGTTATATGTCAAGTTGCGGTCCAGGATTATTCCTGGTCGCTTATGGAAGTGACAGGAACGATTTTCTTATTTAAAAAATTCAAAGACATATCATCTGATATTCTTATAGAATGGACAAGTCAGGAAATCAAGCAACGAAAACGTATGATCGTATGCTTTGAACTATTTGCCCTTTTATTCTCTCGGGGTTTGGGCGCAGTTTCATTTCACGCGTACGTTTCTGTTCTGCCTCGGGTTCAGATATTTAAAATATTCTTATAATATGCCATTGAATTGTTGTCATATGCAAACGGTATAAATTTGTGAAATAGAGGTCTCGCTAGCGACTGTGTAGGTCGTAGCGCTTTGGTGGTCTTGCCAATTAGACACACTAGCCAATTAGACATCGAATGTCCATTCAATAGATTCTAAAACCTGTATTGTAATGTCTATAAATCTCTCTCTTAAATCACAAATACGCGCTGGTTTGAAGGACACAACTTGTTTACTTGAAAAATATATGAATACATTTTGTTACATAGCCGAACTCCACCCACTTTACACCCGTCTATCATAAATGTCAATTATTAACAATTCATGACACTCCCCCCTTGACCAGTATTAGGAAAGTATTTATAGTATCTTTAGTCCATTTCATTTATCCACTGGTCAATTAATTGTCTGCGGTGATTTCCCACTACTGCTGCAGTTCTCGTTGATCTTCGAACAGGCACAATCTCAGACTCTTGATCGGTTGTAGATTCGGTTTCGTTAGACTCGTAATTCACCTCCAAGGGATACAACTTTTTAATAGGTCTGCCTCGCACCCGTCTTCCTTTGCAATCTTGACAACAGCTCCTCGAACCCTTCCATCGTTGCTCTTGCGCAGACTTTCGACTCTACCAAGTTTCCAAATTGATCTTGGAATCTTAATTCCTTCGCCTTGTACTGTCACCATATCTCCAATAGCAATAGCAAATGTGATGGGGTAAGTGGCTCAGCCATATCATCATTATCCAAATAGGTCAGCGGCCGAGAATTCAGGATTGCTTCAACATCTACAATAACCGTTAACAACTCGTCATAACTCAACTTCGCCGTACCAAGTATCTTCTTCAATCACCTTTTCACACACTTTAAATCATTCGTTCAAAAAAACCACCCCACCAAGGGGCTCGAGCAAGATTGAACTTCCATGATATTCGTTTAACACCTAAGAATTTCTGGATTTCAGGTTCTTTCAGCAATCTCGCGATTTGTCTGGACGCCGCTTTGAACGTGAGTGCATTGTCACTTATCATTTCCTTGGGAATTCCACGCCGTGCCATAAAGCGCCGGAAACATCGAAGGAATGCTTGTGTAGACAGTTCTGAGACTAAGTCTAAGTGAACTGCACGCGAACTAGCGCACGTAAACAAAGTCAAATAAGCCTTTGCTAAAGAACTTTCCTTGCTGTTAGAAGCAACCTTAACGTATAAGGGGCCAGCGAAGTCAACGCCGACGTAGGTAAAAGCTGGATCGCAACTCACTCGAGAAAAGGGTAGTGGACTTGGGGTGACGTCAGGATAAGAGCGTCCTTCAAAGCGACGAGATACAACGCATTTAGTTATCACATTTCGAACTACCTGTCCCCCCTTTCGATCCAAAAACGTGACCGGACTTCGGCTAAGGTTTCATGCACTCCGTTGTGTCCGACCCGGCTGTGACAATCTCGTATGGTTATTGTTGTAAAGTGATGCTTTCTTGGAATGATTGCAGGGTATTTCTCTTCGTATGATATTTCTGCGTTAGCTACAATCCTGGCCAAAACTCATGTGGACACTTAATTCCACTTTTGCAAAAATCATAACAAACACCTAAAACTTGAATTTACTTGCATATCCCCCACTCCCCCTCTTCAATGTTGCTTATCCGACTTAACCACACTTCGTATTTGATGAAAAATCCCATTCAACATTGGCATGGGGGAGCGGGGGGATAATTATTTAGGGAAAACGCCTTTCGAGGCCAAATTCTGTGGGTTGTCCACAACCTTTTGTCCAGGATTGTCTGAAAAATGATGAGCATGGAGAAGCGCTGTTTTATCACTTGTTCGTTAACATTCGATATGTCTGACGAGACTACAACACTTACCTATGTTTTCTAAGTTTTTGCTATACAGTTTGATAGCTGATGACGTCACAATTAGTAATTACGTCACTTCCGGATGTTGTAAATATAAGCTAATTTGTGGGAAGCATGCGTAAAACCAACTATACTGAATAGGTGCTAGCATAACTTTTTCTCAATCTTATACATGGAAGGTACACCGACTTTACTGTTCAGATACATAGCCCAGGAGCGCATTTAGGCTTTAGTAGGAGAGAAATTGACGGTGCAGAAAATTTTCAGTGTCATATCTGTACGGAGTTTCAGTATGATTCCAGAACGTCTCAAGCTATGTAGCAATTACCTTATTCCATTGAATAAATTATTGTACTTTTGCATATTTTTAGTGATTTTAACGACTCCTGTAGTTTGAAGAAAAGCCTATATTTTTATACACAGCCCTAATATATTACGCGCCAATGACAAGATCTAGAACCTTGCAATATCAAAATAAAAAAGCATCAGTACTCAAAATGAAATATATAGAGAATAATACATGGGTGCGCGGAAATACCAGATTTATTTCGAGTGTTGAGCATGATATCTCAAGAGTGAGCGCAGCGAACGAGTGAGATATCATGTTCAACACGAGAAATAAATCTGGTATTTCCAAGCACCCATGTATTTTTCTGTTTATTATATAAACAAAATTCAGTGAAAAACAATAAAACGTCGTGGCAATGCGTTTTACAACAAATGATATTTTCACACGTAAAAATATCGTATTTTTTACGTGTGTTTAAATACGATTTTTCTCAGTGGCCAAAAACTCTATATAACACTTGTGTTTATATAATAAATCATGTTAACCTTTTTCGCCATTTGAAAGGCAATATAATTTGACATTGAAGGATTCGTAGCATTTCCAAAGATAAGTGTCTATCATAAACTGGTACGCGAACTCGATACAGCTTCGGCCATTAAATACATACAATTCTCTTATATATACTTGTAAATATTATATTACAATTGAAGTTTGTCAAAGAATGCAATATTGCCGTACACTTTCGAATACTGTGCGCCAAATATAGCACGGTCTACAGTAACTTCGAACTTGAATTATACACAATTACTGCATTGAAATGTAACGATTTTTTGTTAGGAGACTACCTACATATTATACTTGTTATTAAAATGTTTTCATAATTTACACAGTAGAGCAATAAAAAGTTACCACGGTCTACATATTAAAAGTAGATCTTTGAATATAATAGATCATAGCTCATTAGTATTCATGAAAATACGATTTTTGTGTGTAGACCGTGGCTATTTTTAAGGCATAGCTGATTTTATATGTCTTGCTGCATACTGGTGCAAAATGTAATTGGAGAAGTCTTTTAATCTATATTTTTTATCGTTTGCGCGCTTATATACTTCTAAAATCACTGCAAAAAAAAGTGTAGACCGTGTTTCGAGCTTTGAATATTATGTTACACTCATTACGTCACTCGATCGGAAAGTATAACATATCAACTTAACAATTATAGCAAAGCCCTGTAACGTAATATAATTCAGATATTTAGTTCTTGCCTTAATTAAATCATGTATATATAGGTTTCTGTCAAACATTGTATTCAGCAAGTTTTAGATGCACCTTGAAATTGCACTGTCAGAACGAAGCTGTAATATATAGTTAAAACATACAAACGTACTGGCATATATCGTAAGCGGCAACACTTGCAGTTAACGAATTATAATACTTGTATGAAAAATGTCATTTAGTTGTATAAATTAGATTCTCAAGCACTTCAAGAATGCATAAACAAACTTGAGACTAGTACAATATATATTCTGTCATTCTCGTCACATAATTATTGCTAAAAATTAGGCTCGTGGGCGCGTGTTTTGGCTAGAAAATCTGTGTCTTTACCGGACAATTTTTTTTTCAAAAGATGGTCAGGAATAGATTATTGAGATGCAAACAAGCGCAATTTTACTGACAAAGCATAGTTTTTGCCATTTTGTGTCATATTAGATACAAGAACCGTCTATTATTTTCTATGGTGATTTTCAGACAATCCTGGCCAAAACTCATGTGGACTTAAACCACTTTTGCAAAAATCATAACAAACACCTGGAACTTGAATTTACTTGCATATCCCCACTCCCCCTCTTCAATGTTGCTTATCCGACTTAACCACACTTCGTATTTGATGAAAAATCCCATTCAACATTGGCATGGGGGAGCGGGGGGATAATTATTTAGGGAAAACGCCTTTCGAGGCCAAATTCTGTGGGTTGTCCACAACCTTTTGTCCAGGATTGTCTGAAAAATGATGAGCATGGAGAAGCGCTGTTTTATCACTTGTTCGTTAACATTCGATATGTCTGATGAGACTATAACACTTACCTATGTTTTCTAAGTTTTTGCTATACAGTTTGATAGCTGATGACGTCACAATTAGTAATTACGTCACTTCCGGATGTTGTAAATATAAGCTAATTTGTGGGAAGCATGCGTAAAACCAACTATACTGAATAGGTGCTAGCATAACTTTTTCTCAATCTTATACATGGAAGGTACACCGACTTTACTGTTCAGATACATAGCCCAGGAGCGCATTTAGGCTTTAGTAGGAGAGAAATTGACGGTGCAGAAAATTTTCAGTGTCATATCTGTACGGAGTTTCAGTATGATTCCAGAACGTCTCAAGCTATGTAGCAATTACCTTATTCCATTGAATAAATTATTGTACTTTTGCATATTTTTAGTGATTTTAACGACTCCTGTAGTTTTGAACAGCCTATATTTTTATACACAGCCCTAATATATTACGCGCCAATGACAAGATCTAGAACCTTGCAATATCAAAATAAAAAAGCATCAGTACTCAAAATGAAATATATAGAGAATAATACATGGGTGCGCGGAAATACCAGATTTATTTCGAGTGTTGAGCATGATATCTCAAGAGTGAGCGCAGCGAACGAGTGAGATATCATGTTCAACACGAGAAATAAATCTGGTATTTCCAAGCACCCATGTATTTTTCTGTTTATTATATAAACAAAATTCAGTGAAAACAATAAAACGTCCGTGGCAATGCGTTTTACAACAAATGATATTTTCACACGTAAAAATATCGTATTTTTTACGTGTGTTTAAATACGATTTTTCTCAGTGGCCAAAAACTCTATATAACACTTGTGTTTATATAATAAATCATGTTAACCTTTTTCGCCATTTGAAAGGCAATATAATTTGACATTGAAGGATTCGTAGCATTTCCAAAGATAAGTGTCTATCATAAACTGGTACGCGAACTCGATAAAGCTTCGGCCATTAAATACATACAATTCTCTTATATATACTTGTAAATATTATATTACAATTGAAGTTTGTCAAAGAATGCAATATTGCCGTACACTTTCGAATACTGTGCGCCAACTATAGCACGGTCTACAGTAACTTCGAACTTGAATTATACACAATTACTGCATTGAAATGTAACGATTTTTTGTTAGGAGACTACCTACATATTATACTTGTTATTAAAATGTTTTCATAATTTACACAGTAGAGCAATAAAAAGTTACCACGGTCTACATATTAAAAGTAGCTCTTTGAATATAATAGATCATAGCTCATTAGTATTCATGAAAATACGATTTTTGTGTGTAGACCGTGGCGATTTTTAAGGCATAGCTGATTTTATATGTCTTGCTGCATACTGGTGCAAAACGTAATTGGACAAGCCTTCTAATCTATATTTTTAATCGTTTGCGCGCTTATATACTTCTAAAATCACTGCAAAAAAACGTGTAGACCGTGTTTCGAGCTTTGAATATTATGTTACACATCACGTCACTCGATGGGAAAGTATAACATATCAACTTAACAACTATAGCAAAGCCCTGTAACTTAATATAATTCAGATATTTAGTTCTTGCCTTAATTAAATCATGTATATATAGGTTTCTGTCAAACATTGTATTCAGCAAGTTTTAGATGCACCTTGAAATTGCACTGTCAGAAGGAAGCTGTAATATATAGTTAAAACATACAAACGTACTGGCATATATCGTAAGCGGCAACACTTGCAGTTAACGAATTATAATACTTGTATGAAAAATGTCATTTAGTTGTATAAATTAGATTCTCAAGCACTTCAAGAATGCATAAACAAACTTGAGACTAGTACAATATATACTCTGTCATTCTCGTCACATAATTATTGCTAAAAATTAGGCTCGTGGGCGCGTTTTTTGGTTAGGAAATCTGTGTCTTTACCGGACAATTTTTTTTTTCAAAAGATGGTCAGGAATGGATTATTGAGATGCAAACAAGCGCAATTTTACTGACAAAGCATAGTTTTTGCCTTTTTGTGTCATATTAGATACAAGAACCGTCTATTATTTTCTATGGTGATTTTCAGACAATCCTGGCCAAAACTCATGTGGACACTTAATCCACTTTTGCAAAAATCATAACAAACACCTAAAACTTGAATTTACTTGCATATCCCCCACTCCCCCTCTTCAATGTTGCTTATCCGACTTAACCACACTTCGTATTTGATGAAAAATCCCATTCAACATTGGCATGGGGGAGCGGGGGGATAATTATTTAGGGAAAACGCCTTTCGAGGCCAAATTCTGTGGGTTGTCCACAACCTTTTGTCCAGGATTGTACCCCACAACCCCAGATTCCTACTACCCCACACCCACAGATTCCTATAACCCAACGACAACAACAGCAATCCCATCAAGAAATACCCCGAGCGGAAGTTTCTGAAGCCTCAGTGGCTAACCCAACTACGAACTTGTACACAAGATCGAGACAGGAATAGTTGAAAAGTTCCCGAAGGTGCCAGTTGCACGCCTGGAAAGGTACATTACTTGCCCCATCATCCCGTGATTCGCAGAGACAAGCAAACGACCAAGGTCCGTGTAGTGTACAACGCCAGTGCGAAAACCAGCAAAACCTCTCTGAACTCATGTTTGAATGCGGAACCTTCTCTTTTACCAAAGATAGTCGATGTTTTGATTCGTTTTCGTTTCCACAAGATTGGGTTGATAGCGGATGTAGAAAAAGCGTTCCATCAAATTTTCATATCCACGGAGGACATAAATGCCTTGCGCTTTCTCTGGATAGATAACATTGCAAGTGAAAATCCTCGAGTATTAACTTATCGATTTGCAAGAGTAGTCTTCGGTGTGACTAGCAGCCCGTTTCTGTTAAATGCCACCATAGCTCATCACATCAATAGTTACGTGAATGATCCCGACTTCATCACCACCTTCCTGTCTTCCTTGTACGTGGACGATTTTAGTGGTGGAGCCGGTACAATACCGACAGCGTACGAGTTATATCTGAAGGGTCGACAGCGCATGTCAGAAGGGGGATTTAGTCTCCGGAAGTGGGCAACCAACGATCCAACTTTGCGAGAGGAGATCGCAAGCCACAAGGTCGATAACTCTGTAACTGAGAGAACGTCCGAGAAGCCAATCGCTGAAGACGACCAAACTTATGCCGCATCATCATTGGGCACGAATGTAACGGACAGTTGTGAGAATATTCGTAAGGTGCTTGGATTACAATGGAACACGACGGAGGATAAGCTCGTATTTGACATGAAGAATTATTCGGACTTGTTCGAGTCAAACACCCCTATTACGAAACGCAAGGTTCTTAGTGTGATTTCGAAGGTTTATGATCCCATTGGACTAATAGCCCCCGTGACGATCACTATGAAAGTGTTATTCCAACAAAATCTGAAGAACTGTACTCGAAGGTAAAGGAATTGAAAGACGACTTAGAAGAATGTAAAACAATCCAGGCGGCACGTTGCTATATCGAAGATATTGCTGATGAAATCAAGTCAGTTGAATTACTTGGATTTGCGGACGCGAGCATCGTAGCATATGCAGCCGTAGTATGCATCCGAGTTTTAACTGCGACAGCGAATCGAGTACAGTTAGTTGCTTGTAAGACACGCGTAGCTCCACTCGTAAAGCAAAGCATTCCTCGTCTGGAGTTACTGCCAGCAACTATTTTAGCAAGATTAATGATCTCTATCCGCGAAGCACTCAGACCGATTGTCAAGATTAGCGCAGCCTATTGTTGGTTAGATTCTCTAACGGCGATCTACTGGATAAGAGGAGGAGATAGAGAATGGAAGCCCTTTGTGCAAAATCGGGTCATTGAAATCGAGTCATCGAGGACTAATTCCTTCAGAATTTTGGTTTCATTGTTCTTCAGAACAAAACATTGCAGACATAGCATCAAGAGGAACTATGGCAACCAATCTTTTAAAGAATGACGAGTGGTGGAATGGTCCAGACTGGGTAAGGAACTACAACCCGAGACAGGCAGAATTGAGTAAACCCACAAACGAAGTTCTACTAGAAGCAAAGGCATCCAAGATTCGTGAAGTACAAAGTACACGCGTTCACGTGAGTGCGATAGACGAAGCGGTTGGGAACATTTCTAAAGTCATTACATGCGAAGATTATAGTAGTGTCAGTCGGCTGTATTCCGTCACAGCCTATGTTCTAAGATTTATTGAGAATCTAAAACGAAAACGACAAGGAACGTCATTAGTTAAGGAGTGTTGAACGGCCGAAGAATTAGGACGGGCCGAATATTACTGGTTGTTATTTATACAGAGAGACGTACGTTCTGACAGCAACTATGTCGAGAAGAAGAATCGTTTGGGACTGTTCGAAGACACTAAAGGAATCATTCGTTGCAAGGGACGACTACAATCCTGGACAAAAGGTTGTGGACAACCCACAGAATTTGGCCTCGAAAGGCGTTTTCCCTAAATAATTATCCCCCCGCTCCCCCATGCCAATGTTGAATGGGATTTTTCATCAAATACGAAGTGTGGTTAAGTCGGATAAGCAACATTGAAGAGGGGGAGTGGGGGATATGCAAGTAAATTCAAGTTTTAGATGTTTGTTATGATTTTTGCAAAAGTGGATTAAGTGTCCACATGAGTTTTGGCCAGGATTGTAGTAGGAAACTCTGTGTGTTGCATGTTTTGGGTTCTTGTGTCTCGTACTACGTTTTCTTGCATCATAAAACTATTACGATTATGGATTTCACAAATGCTTGTATGTTACCTCGACACTTACTACACCGTCCCGGGGATTTACACTCTCTTACAATGTAGTTTTTTCGCAAACAATTAAAGCATAGGCCACTATTTTGTAGAATTTGTTTTCGCGCGTTAATGTCTGTGACAACTTGACAATTTACATGGGCGTGGCTCTGTCTACAATACGCGCATGGAATTGATTGTTTATGCACGGTCATTAGACTAGACGCTGAAAATGCACCCTTTGGTTTCATATAGCCAAAGTTACTTCGATTATGACCTTTATTCGCTAAACTGCTACTTGCATTAAGTGAAACTGCCGTGCATCGTTTTGTTTACCCAAATGAAACCATTCGTGATTCTAACCATTTGGCTAAGAAAATTACTGTACATGTGCGTATGAGGCGCGAGTCTCTGGGCACAAGTTGTCAAAGACAGATCATTCTATGCCGAAATTCCTTCCCTTTCCTTCCTTTTTCTTTAGTCATTACGTGCTGTCATTTTCGATCATTTTCTTAACAGATTAGTTTTGTTCCAGGTGATGGGAGAAGGTTGCACCTTTTCTGTTACAGTAAAACTGTTAATTTGTCGATATTGTGCACATTGAAACAAAATTTAAAGGAACGAGTCAGGTTCTATCTACTTTATAATTAAAATATTGTTTTGTTGTTTTGTTGTTTTGTTGTGGATAAACGATCCGCTAAAAGTAACTTTAATATGAAAAACCTAAAATATTGTTAACGATAATAGTTGTGATTGTTTTTGATAATCGTATCACATTAGCGATTTATAAGTTCTTTTCGGGAGAATTTCAGTGTTTTGGCTTTTTTGTATTGAAAATTTGACAATTTAATATTGCACTCGTTGACATACTTCAAAAGTCGGGGCTTAACTCGAGCAACAACTTTTTTGTCAAACTTTGAGTTAATCACCGGGACTTAACTCGAATAACCCAAACACACCCTAACGCTTTAAACCTCCAAAACCATGCGCGGTATGAGGAGTATCGTTAAGTTGAAGTTCTGAGCAATTTCAGAACTCTGTCGCCGCCAAGAGATAACATATTACTTATAATCAAATTTCTCATGAGAGCGAAACGCCATTTTTGTATAATCGCCCATGTTTTTATATTTTAAACTCCAATGTAAAATAAAAGATGTGTACCTTCAAACATCAAACCTCGCATGAGACTTTTAGTTCCACAATTGAAACTTTCAGTTATACATAGCCATAGGCAAATTTTTCAGTTTTGACAGCAAAAGTAATTGTTTTGCCGCATTTAATGGAGCTTTCAGAATGGTTGTAAAACATTTAAAATGGATGAAAATGTAGGATTTTCGACTTTCAACCCTCGACCTCGACTTTTGACCCTCGATTTTCGACCCTCAACCTCGACTTTTGACCCTCGATTTTTGACCCTTGACCTCGACCTATGGCCCTCGACACTCGACAATTACTCAAACTCCTTTTTAAGTAATTGAATTGGAAAATAAAAAATTTTGAAATTTAGTCATAGCGAAGTGGCATGATACTTTATTAGTTTTGAGCGCGTGTTACCCAACGACAACATATAAAATATAATCTCCTTTTAATCTGTTTTAAGGTTTGGAACTTGCTTGATGGCAGTGAGATAACTGGTATTGAGCTTGATAATAAAGCTAAGTTAGTTCGCTTCAGTTTGGACGGGAGGCTAGTTATAATTGGATGTTACGACCGCCACAGCTACATCAGTAGCAAAGTTTCTATCTGGGATTGGCAGAAGAATGATGTAAAGTGTGTTACCTTACCATCATTCAGAAAGACAACCGAAATAACTTGCGATGGGAACATGATTTACACGTGCAGCAGAAAGATGGAAGTTTGTCAAATCGATCTCCGCTCACTAAAAGTATCGAATATTCGTCGAGGGCCCTATCCAAATTGTACGCCTATGGTTGTATTACCAGACGGCAAAGCTATATTGTCTGGGAAATTGGGAGATAGTTCGTTTATTTTTTGGGAACTTTCAACTGACAAACAGTTCACATGTAATGCAGGTAGGTGAATAGGAAGCTTTGTTTGTAGTTCTCAATAATAATTTCTGAAAACCTATTATTAAAGAACTTTTAGTACGAATACGACTATAAATACGGGATTTGTCATCAAGGACGTGGCGAAGTCTTCTCAGTTTGGGGATACTGAATATTCCCATTATTCCGATCAATCAGTTCCTTTGAATGTTAATGCCAACAAAAAATTCGCCGAATCTAGCTAACTAATCATCATTGGTGAGGTATTTGTGGATCATGACTATACGCTATATCTAAACTATCTAAACTAAAATCCCTCGACATTCCTGATCCCACTGTTAATTGGATTGCAGATTTTCTAAGTAATAGACAACAACGAACTAAACTGGGATATCACTGTTTTTCTGAGTGAGGGAATGTTCGGCCGGTGTCGCTCAAGGAACCAAGCCAAGGCCGTGGCTGTTCGTCCTGATGATAAACGACCTTGAAACATCTAGTATTGGGCGAGGCAAAATTCGTAGACGTATCTGAAACTGTGTCCAATCATGGTTTAAGTTAATATCTAACATGCAGTTTCGGAAATTCAAGAATGGTCCGAATCTAACCCCTTCAGGTTGAATGAAAACAACTGCAACGAACTACGAGTAGACCTCACAAAAAACCAACCTCGTTCCCAGGGTCTCTCCTTCTGTCATCTGGGAGAGACCCTGGCTGCGGCTGGTCACGTGCCTCCCAGATTCTGGGAGGTAAATTTAATTGTAACTGTGAGAGGGGTGGGAAAGGAGCGTGTTTGTAGCGTTTTAAAATTGCAACTTTGGGTGATGAAATTTACTGTAAATTTGCAACAAGAAATCGTAAAGAGAACTCTTAAATTAATATTTATATCGTGACGCTCTACTCTATAATCTGGTGTCGAGTTACAATTCAAGCAAGTTGGGTCAGATTTCAATATTCAACTTATGGACTTGCCAAAGAGAGCACGCTTGCCGCTTGTGCAGCGTGGCGATATTAAACCTACAAGAAAATATAATCTCTAGACCGAACAGTGTGGTTGTTATTTATTTAGTATTAATGTCTATCCTGATACTCGGACCAAAAGAATTTATTTATTGATGAGATGTGGAATTGCAACGAAATAGCGAAATCTTTTGATTTCCGAAATATCGCCAACTGTATCCAGATTGTTGATCTATATAAAGGCCTTATCAAAAAAAACTTATAGCCCGTCAAAAGACTATAAAATTGGCCCTTGGCATTGCTGAAACCAACGATCATGGTATATGTCAAAGTATAGCTGTCTGTTGAAAATCTACGGTATTAAAATCATACACCAAAGATAAGTCAAACGACAAATTATATGTTACTATATTATACATGTCTTTCCAATGAGCACTGTTTAGTTGTGTTCACCACCTTTATAAATTTTGTAAACAGCTTTAGTTTTGACATGAAAAGTGAGATTTAAATTTTTGCTTTGACTTTGTGAAATAGAATACCGTTATTTTTTAATGGACAGCTTGGCAAGCTTGCATCGTCTATATCATATCCAGGATTGCTTGTGTGTAAACGCATTATTCAGTATATGACACTATCAAATAAATATAAGTAGGCTAGCAAATGATTAATGAATTAGAGATAAACAGGTGATTCACAATGAAAGCTTTAAAAATGTTAGTAGAAGTAGGCTAGAAAACTCGAAAATTTATGTCTATTCGTATGATGCCAATGACGGTCTGTGCGCATCGGACACTGTAAATTTGTGATATAGATTATAGTATGTTAACACAATATAATGATTAATAGAGACCAAAAAAAGCCTAAAGTCTTACTATAATTACCGAATACGAATTATGTACTAAATCCAGAAAAACCAATGACTGAAATTTCCTCTATACTTATAGACATTTCTCTGTTCGGCTATTATCAAATGTTTACATTTGCTAATATTGGGTCAGTCCTAGACAATACTGTTTCTTTTAAAAATCTTATAAACAAGACGCGTAGTAACAAGTGAATCGGTACAAAGCGTATCAACGTTTACAAGAAAGGACGAATGTAATGGCGTATTTTAAAAACATTACAATATTAAAAGGTTTGTTATAACCGCGCTCGATTGTGAAGAGAGCATGCATTGAATAACAACACGAGAGAGCACGTACTGCGAGTAACGATTTGCTTTGTTTCTTGACTTGACTGTATGAAAGTAAGAATGTAAGAATGTTCTTGTAAATTCAAAGCAAAGAAAATAAACAAAAATTAGCAAGTATTTTGAACGTAATAATTCGCAAAATTTATGTTTTTAACGAATATTCCACTGGAAGCATGTTTATGTAATTTGATACTTTCCCTACACCCCCTCAGGCGCTAATTTTTTTATGAGGCACGTGACCAGCCGCAGCCAGGGTCTTTCCCAAAGAAAGATCCTGGGTACGAGGTTGACAAAAAACGTGAGTATCTTTCCCCCAATTGAATTGAATGGAAAAGCCCTAAAAATTGTGGAAGAGGCAAAATCCCGATCCAAGATATTCTGCAATTTTATACTGTCTGTGTCCGCCCCATTGTGGAATACGCTTCGACTAAATTACCAATTACGTAAGAAGATATATATTCCGAAATTTTCTACTAAACGGTTTAAAAACTCGTTTATCTTTGCTAGTTGTTTAAACATGAATAATTGAAATTTAAGCAATTTAGCGTTAGGTACTTTAATAATTATTATTATATGGCAGGCATCACTTCCGGTGAAATGGCGGACTGTGATTGGCTGAGAAGCACTTTCAGCGGTCCATGATTTCCCGGTAATGGACCGGCGGTCCATTACGTAAAAACAAACGCATGCATTTTTAAACAAAACAGCAAACCTAATTGGAAATTTGAAAATTATAATTTAATTTGTTATTAATAAGATATCTGCGAATGGTTTTTAGTGGAAAAGAAGGAATGCATTGGTATTTTTTGTTTTCTTCGACCAAATGTGTACTTCGCTACTAATATGCATTTCAAATCATGCATTTCTTGTTTGTTTCAAGTATAAATGCCTATAAATACCATATAATAAACTTTTTATTAACCTCGCTTGTTCGATATGTACAGAGAAATATCGGACCTCGGTCTTTTTGTATAAATCTCGCCCTACAGGCTCGATCTGTACAAAAAAGACCTCGGTCCGATAGTTCTCTGAGCAGACCTCGCGTTCGGTTAATAAGAAGTTATTAAATTCCTAGTTGATTTTAGCATAGTGTAGTATAATTTTACCTAGTTCTAGCTATTCTAAACAAATGTAATCACTTAGTAATTCCTGGCCTTCTCCACAGGCCTCTCTATGGGTTTTAGCCTGCGAATGGGCATTGAAAACTTTTTCCGATTCCCCGGGTGAGATGCCTGCGGAGGAGGCTAAGTAATTCCGTACTTGTACTGCAAAAAGTGACTCATTAATTTAAACTACCTATCTATCTCTCTTTCTACCCATCTCTCACTATCTATCTATCTATCTATCTATCTATCTATCTATCTATCTATCTATCTATCTATCTATCTATCTATCTATCTATCTATCTATCTATCTATCTATCTATCTATCTATCTATCTATTTATCTATCTATCTATCTATCTATCTATCTATCTATCTATCTATCTATCTATCTATCTATCTATCTATCTATCTATCTATCTATCTATCTATCTATCTATCTATCTATCTATCTATCTATCTATCTATCTATCTATGCGTTTATATTCGTAAGGGACGGACCATTAGAAAAGTGATGGGATTTTCTGAGAGGCAATATTTTTTTTTGTACACCTATAGAAGATATGTTTTTTTGTACACCTATAGAAGAAATATATTTTTTTTCTCACTTGATGGATATTTTTTTTTAAAGGGGCCCTACAGTAATTTTTTAGTCAAGTAAGTATTGTTTACATTTTTTTGTTATTGTCTCTCCTTGACATGCGCACCACAGTATGCATGCGTTTTCTGGTGTGCAAAAGTACTCATACTCATGGATACTGCATGTAAGATCTGTGAATCTCCGTGGAGTCCCCTACTTAAGGTGGCTTTCGACTAAAAAATGACTGTAGGGCCCCTTTAAGTGAAATTTATAGGCCTATTAGTGGTGTAGTCCTGGAATGTTAACAAGGGGGGCTCTCCAAAGTGCCCTGAATTGGCGGGGGGGGGAGGGGAGGTACAATAAGATATTTTGAAAATTCTAAATTTTGTTGGGGTTTATTCTAGTAATTCTGGGACAAACATTTGACGTTATTCTTATTAAAAACAAGCCGTAGCGAGGGCCGAAGGTCCGAGGAAATTTTTAAATTTAGAGTCTCTGAAATACCATTTCCTGGACTTTGGGGAAGATTTGACAGAATTCTGATGGTCAGAAAACAGCGTTTTAGTATGTCGAAATTTACAATTTAGTGGTACTAAATGATATAAAGATTACAAAAATCATTATTGTGTTAAATGATGAGTGAAAATGAGATGCAATTCTAAAGAACATTCTCGTTTACTGATATTTTTCGTGTGTGTTTTTGACGTTGTTAAGATTATGCAACTTGCCAAAATTTTGGGGGGCTCAGCACGCTGGTCATATTCAGCAAATTTTCTCCCAGGACCGCAGGCTTATATTGTCAGTGGACTTGCGGTGTAAAATTGAAACTTTTGCATTTTTCAAAGAACTGGCCACTTTCTGTAAGACGTCCGCTGTCAATACGAACCCGCACGAGTGGGAGAACTTTTGCTAAATTTGACCAACGTGCAGCCCCCCAAGTCAACATGAAATTTCAACAAGGGGGCTCAGCCCCCCTGAGCCCTCCCTCCAGTACACCACTTGGCCTATCTGCTAAGCAAGGAATTTTTTTTTTGCACTATGCCTGGAAAGATTTTTTTTTCTTAATTTTATTCTGGGAATAATTTTTTTTTTGGTTTTGCCCCCTCCCCCATCACTTTTCTAATGGTCCGTCCCTAACTCAATAAACTACAAAAGGCGCTTTGAGTTAGAAGATCAAAATTTGGAAATTATTGTAATTGAGATTATAAAGCCTAATTCTCAACCTTTTCTTATTATAGCGTGGTACAGACCACCGAAAAGTCCTTTACAATTTGAGAATCTTTACAAAACAATTGATAGTAAATACAAAGAAATTTACATTTTAGGTGACCCGATTGTAATTATCTATTAAATCCCCCTGAGTGTCATATACAACACCTTAATAATTTATTAGTTAACTACCAACTGAATCAAATTATTGTTGACCCAACCAGAGTAAATAGCACTTCGCAAACATTGATTGATTTAATAATTACTAACAAATCTGATTCTATTATCTATTCGGGAGTTTACCCTCTGTCAATAAGTGACCATTATTCAATTTACGCGGTACGGAAAATCGGCATACGTAATGGCAAACCACGATATATTGAATGTCGAAACTTTAAAAACTTTAGTGAATCTAAGTTCAAAAAGGACCTAAAATCTACTCATTGGCCTATAATTAATGAGTTTGATGATGTCAATGATGCATGCGATACATGGACATCTGTTTTTAGTGAAGTGATTGAAAAACACGCGCCTGTACGTAGTTTCAGAGTTCGTAATAAACCTAGCCCTTGGCTTAATTCAGAACTCAAATATTTAATGATAAATAGAGATAAACTGAAGAAAAAGGCTATTTCATCCAATAATTCTGAATCTTTGTCTGCTGTTAAAGAAACATGGAAAATTTTAAATAATGCGCTGGGAAAGAAATCGGATAACATCGAAATAAACACACTGTCATCTGACTCAGGAGAAATCATAACCGAGTCATTTGACATTGCAAATTCGCTTAATAAACATTTCGTTGGAATTGGTCCGAAATTGGCCTCCAATGTTTCCCTTTTAGGCAAGGTAGCAACAGCTAAGGATTACATGACCCAGGTTGAATCATCATTTGAATTTCAAAAGATAGATTCTAAAGACGTCTTTAAATTAATAAACAAATTAAATTTGCGTAAAGCTTCGGGCTGTGATAAAATATCAAATAGATTATTAAAAACATCTGGTCCTTATATTTATGAAGCTTTAACAAATTTGTTTAATCTTTCTCTTACAACAAATAAGTTTCCGACAAGGTGGAAAATTGCAAAAGTCTTTCCATTACATAAAACAGAGGAAAGGGATAATGCAAATAATTATAGGCCTATATTTCGGTGCTATCTTCAATTGCACGTCTCTTTGAGCGCCTTGTGTATAATCAAATGTATGCTTATTTATCTAAACATAGACTAATCAATACCCGTCAATCTGGGTTAATTCCGTTCACTTCACTCTACCATGACAGCCTTACTGGATATGACAAATCAATGGTGTTTTAATATTGATAAAGGGATGTTAAACGGTGTGATTTTTCTTGATCTAAAGAAGGCTTTTGACACCATTGATCATGAAATTTTGCAAATGAAACTTGCATGTTATGGTTTGAAAGAGCGTAGTTTGGAATGGGTTGAATCCTACTTGACAAATAGGGTACAAGTTTGTCATGTATTCAAATGAAGAAACCATTTCCTGTGGGGTTCCACAAGGTTCCATTTTGGGTCCGGTCTTATTTTTGCTATATATAAATGACCTACCCAGTTGTTTGGAACATGGAATTGCCAGACTATTTGCTGACGATACAAATATGACTTCCACAGGTTGCAATTTGGAATCGGTCGAAAATAAAATGCAGATTGAGCTTAATAAAATATTCAAGTGGCTTTGTGCAAACAAGTTGACACTGAATGTTTTAAAGACCGATTTCATGGTTATTGCTTCTCGACAAAAGCTAGCGGCCCTGGGAGACTCAATAACATTGTCAGTAAATGGTATTTCATTAAGCCAAGTTCGTTCGGTGAAATCCTTAGGAGTAAACATACTGAGATGAAAACTTGACTTGGGAAAACCATGTGGAGAGTATTCGCTTAAAGGTATCCCGTAATATTGCTACTTTGAGGCGATTAAAGCCCATTTTAACACAAAAAACCCTGGTATCACTCTATCGGGCGATAATTGAACCATATTTCATTTATTGCTCCATAGTTTGGGACAGCCTTGGTCAAACATTAGACAAGTCTTTACAAATTTTACAAAATAGAGCTGCCCGTGTGATAACTGGGGCATATTTCTCAACATTATCTTCAAAACTCTTAAAAGAACTTGGTTGGATGAATATTCAGGAAATGAGGTATAAACAAAAGGCTATGATGATGTATAGAATAGTAAATGGTAATGCACCATCTTATTTAATAGACATATTTAAACATTGTCATGCTTTGGATATATATAATCTCAGAAGTTCTAAAATAACCTTCGAACTTCCAAAAAATCGAACACTGTATTACAATTCAAGTTTTGCCTTCACTGGTGCTAAATTATGGAATTCTCTTCCGGATGAGATAAAAGACGCACCATCACTTAAAATGTTTGTAAAAATGTTAGATTCGACTATATTCTGTGCCAACCAGAATATGTTTTCTGTATATAGTTTTACATTGAAATATTAAGATACACGCGGCTTTTAGGAAGAACAAATGTAAATATGTCATATCTACAATTGATAAAACCACCGTGGTTAAATAAATATATATATATATATATATATATATATATATATATATATATATATATATATATATATATATATATATATATATATATATATATATATATATATATATATATATATATATATATATATATATATATATATATATATATATGATAGTTTTGGAGTTGAAGCTGGTCTAAAATTCTTTTTAAAATACTAGAATATGTACAATAAAAAGTCTAAAAAAGTTCTAAATTTTCGGTTGCTAACTGCAACCTTCATCAGAGTACTAAGAGCAGTTCGGATAGTTCAAGGTTTTTAAATATCGTCATTATTGCCACATGATTGCACAAGCGATAAATACATGCGTGGGAATTCTTTGTCTTCGTTAATTGTTTTATTGTCTAATATTGAATGCATCGACTCGACGAACGTTCGTTGTTCTAAATTATGTACTCTTTTCTCTAAGATTGTAGCATTGTTAATAGAGGCATTGTGTCCTGCGCTTTCTGCGTGGTCTTTGATTGCTGACTTAATCTCCGGTCTTACGCCTGGTTTGTGTTCTGCCCAACGTGATTTCCACGACCTCTTACTTTCTCCAACATACTTAAATGAGCAATCTGGACATTCGAATTTATAAACAATGCCTTTAATCTCCGTGATCTTCTGCTTGTCTTTTGGTTTACCAAAAATGTCCCCTAAGCTTGGCATGGGTTTATATATTGTCTTAATACCAGCACTTTTAAGCAGCTGTTTTATCTGTTCTGATATGCCTTTCATGTATGGAATACAAGATAACCCTTTAATTTCCGGTTCGTCATTAGTGTTGGAAAACGACCTGCTGGAACTTGTCTGGAAGATGAATTTCTCTGGATATCCGTTGAGCTTTAATTCTTGGACAACACACTCCTTTTTCTTGCTGTTTTTTATTGTCAGTAGAAGGAATGCTGTCGGCTCGATCAAGTAAGGTCTTAACTACGGCTCGCTTACTTTGGGTGGGATTATGAGAGGGAAAGGATAGATATTTATTGGTATGTGTATCCTTACGGTATACACTTACTTCAATGGTACGGTTTTTAAGAATTGTAATGTGGGCATCAAGGAAAGAAATTGCTTCACCGTGGTTTGATTCTGATGGCAATTCAATTGTAAACTGAATGTTTTTGTTGATAGTGTTCAGGTGGGTGTGGAATTGTTCAATGTCACTTTTGCGTAGACATGAATTGGAGTCGTCAACATACCTTCGCCACCAGCGTACTGGGACAGGTGACGTGTTGATGGCAATTGACTCTGTCTCTTGCATTACTATCTCAGCTATGACTGCACTAACAGGTGATCCCATGGCGCATCCTGACTTCTGATGATAGTGTGTCTCATTGAATTTAAAGTAAGAATTGTTAAGTAGGAATTTTAATAGTTTCACAACTTGTTCTTCTTGTTCTTCTTCTACTGACAATAAAAAACAGCAAGAAAAGGAGTGTGTTGTCCAAGAATTAAAGCTCAACGGATATCCAGAGAAATTCATCTTCCAGACAAGTTCCAGCAGGTCGTTTTCCAACACTAATGACGAACCGGAAATTAAAGGGTTATCTTGTATTCCATACATGAAAGGCATATCAGAACAGATAAAACAGCTGCTTAAAAGTGCTGGTATTAAGACAATATATAAACCCATATATATATATATAAGTTTGTATTTGAGCACCACAAGATTGTTGTAATTTGTAGATGGGATATGGAAGTGTTTCATTTATACTTGTTGTATGCATGATATGTCATATTTAGGGGTATGTTCATATGAGCTGGGCTGGCCGGTAAACCTTGCTTGTTTTGAGTAAAAAAGATCCTTATAGATGGAACAACACGCCAACTCAGGTGGGGACGTGTTATGATATGCACAAAATGGGCATGATACAAGCAAAAAGCGCATAATTGTGTCTACTGTTGCTACTCGTAAGTCGATTTGTTATAGGTTATACATTACAGTCCGAGTTAGTATGGATGCTCCAAATGCAGTAAAACTAAAAAATATAGCGTGGCGAAATAGTTCGCTACATTTTTTAAGCAGTAGCTGTAGTCAGTACCGAACTATACCTTTGTTCAAAAGTAGCAGTAGTTGTAGCTGACTACATATTTTTGAAGTAGCTGTAGTTATAGCGAACTACAAAAATTTTGTAGTCAACCCACCTTTGGAAGGTATTCACGTGATATATTGGATGAAGTATATGCCAACCCACAATGAAAGGCGGGTACTCTGTGACCAGACCCTCCTTGGTTGAGCCCGATATCGTGAACATTAAATAGAAAGTATTATTTCATGAAATTGTCCACTAGTAACACAAGTTCCGTTGTTGGGGAATGGAGCGTTACGAAATGTAACAGTAACTCCTTTGAGTACAACTTTGTGGGATCCATTTTGACCACTGAATAACTGAGTCTTTTCTGTTCTCACAGAAAGAGTTATAACTTCGTTTCGCTTCAGTTGAAGGGGTTCCTTTAGCATGACATCGAAGCCATGAATGTTGTCTTGACTGAGTTCAGAGGTATACGTTCCAGTTACTTTAACTTCATTCGCTTCAAGAGTGACCAGATTTTCACTCCCACTTTGTTCTCCAAACAAACGAACGCCAAGCAGTAATACGTCTTTGTTCACAGTAAAACGGAGGCGATCCGGATATATTTTACCGCTATCAGACGCAACCAATAAATCGTTATCCTTAATTCCAGGAAATCTGGAAAACCTCGCGATATTTTCTACTGTTCTATTAGGTAGCTTCCATTTCAATGCAGGCGAATCAATTCCACAAAATTTCGCGAAAATGGGAACCAACTCTTCTTCAGTTAGCAAACCGGATTTTGAAATGTGTTGATCAAATTCTGCCTGGCTCATGGAAAAAGGTCGAAAGCCATAAATCGCTTCGCCAATGATAAGCCTTCGGTTAACGCCTGTTGACTCCAAATTCTTACGCGAGCATTGGAAATCGATCCATTTCAAAACAGCTTGAAACAGTTCCGATTCTGGTAAATTCAGTTTGTCACGCATGAGCAATTTAGCAATAGTCGTTTGACTGATGCTATTGAAACTATCAGAGGCTACTACTTTGCCTGTATTTGATTGTATAAATTTCCAACATTGTTTTTCTAATTCTTTCTCGTCAAAACGAGAAGCTTGGTCCAAAATGTCCAGCACATTTTCAGAGTTTAAATTTTCCAGTAGGAAATTAACGCATTTCTCATTGAGCAAAGGCAGGATGTATTTCTTTGCTAGATATATGATCGCAATAACATTGTCTGCGGTCAATGTACATTCTTCCGTGTAAAGGAATCTCAAAAACTGCTCCAAACTTTCCTCGTTTGTATCAGACAAATGAACAACCGAATCTTTCTCGGCTAACTCGCCGTAAAACATGGCATGAAATACGGCACTACTTGTGCCCAAGACATATTTATGTGCGTGGAATGTCTTGTCAGAACCTTCGCAAGCAAAGCTGATATCACTCATGTCGGAATTGTTGAACATGTGACGGTTTCTTTCTAACACGCTGTTCTTTGTCGACTGCCAATCTACGGTGGGTTGAACGGAGGCCATTTTCAAAAATTATAACTGTAGTATACTGTTGCGAATTTAGGATGTCTTCAAAACTGTGCAAGACAACTAGACAACGGTAGAAAAGCGAAGTGTAATTTGATATGGCCACAATATCACACGACGCAAATATTATCGGAAAATACTGACGTTAATCCATTTAATCTCAGACTAATTACGTGCTGTAATTTATTACCATTCAAGCTTTCGCTGCCAGACTGCAGTTTTCAATCGGGATTACAGATGTGAAATATAAAAGCGTACATGCAAAATATTGTTTTATACAATAGAACCCCGTTAACTCGCAAGGGAAGCGAATAATTACTCGAGGTAGCGGGGGTTCGAGTTAATGGGGTCGGTGTTGCATTTCGTTTGTTATGGAATTTGATTTATTATTTCGTTAATTAGTAAGGTATAGTCGTTTTATTATTCATCACAATTGTGAGCCATTATGATACACTCTAAAGAACTTACAAAGTTTGTACTACTGTTGCCTAAGTTCAACAGTACCTATCACAGTGTTTAATAGTAGAGTACCTACCATGCAACTGCCAACAGTGTACCTATATATAACCTAGATCAGTAATGATCGGCGCAACTTGTTCAACCTTTTATTTTCTTTATGGACTTGTACAAGGGTGGGTAGTAGCGAAGTAGTTGTAGTTCGCTACTGTAGCGAACTACAATTCTCAAGTAGCCAGTAGTTTTTGACTACATTTTTAAAACAGTAGCTGTAGTTATAGCGAACTACATTTTGCCTAAAAGTAGCCATGTAGTTGACTACTTTTCAAACAGCAAATCGCTGTTCGCTACTTTTAAAAATTGTTAACAACTTGATAGAATAGCATGATATTGAGACACGGTTTGCTTAAAATCGATACTCAATAGTCAATTTGCACTCCTGAACACTGTAGTGATTACAAAACTGTTGCTTTGATAAGCAAGGTCTCAAATAGCATGGTTTTTTGGGCTGTCCCCGGTTAAGGGCCTGTTTATATGGAAGCCGTAGCGGGATGAATTTCTCTTGTGTTTATATGAGAAAATTTCATCCCGCTTGCCGGGACAAGTTTGTTGTTTTGACATTGATTTGACAGTTGTTAAAAATAGCTTGCGGCGGTATCTTTGAACTTTCATCCCGGCAACCGGGCCAGCCCGCTTGTGAGTGTTTATATGGAGAAATTTCCATCCCGGTAAGCGAGATCTCGCCTCTTTCAAGCGAGATCTCGGCAACCGAGCCAGTCCGCTTGTCCATATAAACGCACGATAATTTTTACTATAAAAATAACTACATGACAGCGAGATCTCGCTTACCGGGCTGTCTCGCTAAGCGGGCCAGCCCGGCTTCCATGTAAGCTTACCGAAGCATTTAGACGAACTTAGACTAAACATGATAAATCAATACTTAGACATACTCATACTAAATAAAACCCGTCTTGATGATACTATAAGCGATTCTGAAATTTCTATTGATAAATACGACATCGTCAGAAGGGACCGATCTAGACAGGGAGGTGGAGTAGCTATGTACATCCGAAGTTCAATTGGACACACAATTAGAAACGATATATCAAGGATGAAGATCTCGAGTTTCTCTGTGCCGGGTTCAAATCTACAAGCCCAAAGTCAAGTCGTTTCTTGTCTCTACATGGTACAGACCTCCAAACTCTTCAATTCATCTGTTCGGAAAAATTTCCAGACCTATTAGACAAGGTTGAATCTCTGGGAATTGAAAACAACATAATTGGTGACTTGAATTGCAACGTATCTGCCAATGTAGTAGACAATAATACCCATCACCTACTAGAACTAATTGAGTTATATCAATATACTCAACTCATTAAAGAGCCTACTAGAATTACTAGCAGTTCTTCTACGCTAATTGACCTCTTTCTCACAAATGAGCCAAATAACTTTACGACTGCAGGCGTTAATACTATTGGTGACATTGGTATTAGCGACCATAATCTTATCTATGCTGTTAGAAAACACTCAAACTGTTAAATCTAATCCAATGTAGTATACGAAGGTGTCTAATTATTAATAAAGGTCGCGTGCAAGGGTCAAGAAAGGATATCGGATGACAATAACAAACGGGATTGCTAGACAATATACAGGACAAGAATATAGTGCATTGAGTGCAGGGAACTAGAATAGGATTTAATAAAGTGATTTGTTTATACTGCTTGCGTGTCGTGATATATTACATTGGTGCCGTGACTAGGATGACTACATCAACAGCGACAACAAGAGCAAATTTGTTATCTGTTCCTGAAACATTTTCAGACGGTGATATGAGATATGTACAGAAACATCTTGAGATATTTCCGTACTGTTTACTTCTAAGAGTATAACGTTTGGGTGTTTTTATTTTATTTTTAAAGAGTTCTCGTATTCTTGTCTATCTTTAGGAGATAACTTTGCTACTTGCTCGGATGTCATAGGAATATATTTTGGTCTGTCGCAATAAAACATGTTTTAAACTTTGCAAATGTTGTGTTGTTATACGTTGCTAAGTCATTAGGCGACAAGGAGATAGTTAAGGGATTAGGTGAACAAAAATTTACATAACTAAGTGTATTCCAATGGATAGATAGGAATTATTTATTACGCAGGTGTATACCTTAAAACCAGGCGCGAGGCTTCGCGGTATAAATATTAGGCAAAAATCCAGTTTGCAGGGTAGTTGTAAAGTGAGCTAATTGTAACGTACATAAATTGGAAATAGAGAATGTGTTAGAATGTCCTACATTGTGGAATAATAATCCTCTATAATCCTCTCGATATATTCATATGTTCAACATAACCTAGGCTCGGAGCCGGCTCGAATGGCTTGGAACCGAGCCCCGTAAGCTCTATGATTCAATGATTCAATCTTATGATTCAATGATTCAATCTTATGATTTAATGATTCAATCTTATGATTCAATGATTCAATCTTATAATTCAATGATTCAATCTTATGATTCAATGATTCACTCTATGATTCAATGATTCACTCTATGATTCAATTATTCAATCTTATATTCAATGATTCACTCTTATGATTCAATGATTCAATCTTATGATTCAATGATTCACTCTTATGATTCAATGATTCAATCTTATGATTCAATGATTCAATCTTATGATTCAATGATTCACTCTATGATTCAATGATTCAATCTTATGATTCAATTATTCACTCTATGATTCAATGATTCAATCTTATGATTCAATGATTCAATCTTATGATTCAATTATTCAATCTTATGATTTAATGATTCGATCTTATGATTCAATGATTCACTCTATGACTCAATGATTCAATCTTATGATTCAATGATTTACTCTATGATTCAATTATTCACTCTATGATTCAATGATTCAATCTTATGATTCAATGATTCACTCTTATTATGATTCAATGATTCAATCTTATGATTCAATGATTCACTCTATGATTCAATGATCCAATCTTATGATTCAATGATTCAATCTTATGATTCAATTATTCAATCTTATGATTTAATGATTCGATCTTATGATTCAATTATTCACTCTATGATTCAATGATTCAATCTTATGATTCAATGATTCACTCTATGATTCAATGATTCACTCTATGATTCAATGATTCAATCTTATGATTCAATTATTCACTCTTATGATTCAATGATTCAATCTTATGATTCAATGATTCAATCTTATGATTCAATTATTCAATCTTATATTCAATGATTCACTCTTATGATTCAATGATTCAATCTTATGATTCAACGATTCAATCTTATGATTCAATGATTCACTCTATGATTCAATGATTCAATCTTATGATTCAATTATTCACTCTATGATTCAATGATCCAATCTTATGATTCAATGATTCAATCTTATGATTCAATTATTCAATCTTATGATTTAATGATTCGATCTTATGATTCAATGATTCACTCTTATGATTCAATGATTCAATCTTATGATTCAATTATTCACTCTATGATTCAATGATTCAATCTTATGATTCAATGATTCACTCTTATTATGATTCAATGATTCAATCTTATGATTCAATGATTCACTCTATGATTCAATGATCCAATCTTATGATTCAATGATTCAATCTTATGATTCAATTATTCAATCTTATGATTTACACAGGACGAAATCCATACCTTTTTTGACCTTTACAGATTGGGTAAATCTGCTAAAGGTATCTTTAAACGTATACAACTGTGTTTAAAGGCATTAAAGGTGTGTTCGAACTTTATCGACATTTAATACTTGTTTAAATACATCTTTAATCATGATATGCCTTTAGTTACCTTTACAAAAACAATTAAAGCTTGATAAAGCCACATAAAACTTTACTCAAGTTTATATGTGATCTTTAAAGTTGATTAAAGAAATCCATACCTTTTTTGACCTTTACACATTAGGTTAAATCTGTTAAAGGTATGTTTAAACGTATAAAATTGTGTTTAAAGGCATTAAAGGTATGTTCGCACTTTATCGACATTTAATACTTGTTTAAATACATCTTTAATCGTGATATGCCTTTAGTTGCCTTTATAAAACAATTAAATCTTGATACAGCCACATTATAATGTCTTTTACTCAATTAAGTTTCGAGTAAAATGTGTTAAAAGGTAAAATGTCGGCCACAAACGTCATTGTTACCATATATAACAACGGTAACGACATCATTTTTGTAAACAGTTTTCAACTCTTGGACGATTGCTTAATATATGTGGTACAATTTTTGTCTTCTGAAAAGAAACATCTCTTCAAAAAATTAAAAATTAAATCTAAATCACGATTTTGTCATATTTCAAAAATTGTAGGGAGCCACCTTAATCAGGATTGTAAACCTGTGACGCGGTGTTTTGTTTCATTGCTTATTTTGACAATGTTTCAGAGAACGGAACTGAACCAAAATGTTAAACTCAGACTACGTTTACACCATACCAGATGAATATGGAACCACATTGTTCACAAACTAGACCTGAATTCAACTTGCACAGTTAGCTATGCTTCATTTCGTACGATGAAGTACATGTACTGTACATGGACTTTTGATGAGGATTATTTATTCTGCTCAATTTGAATAGAAGATCTTTAATAGCAGGGGTCGAAGTAGAAACCACTGGGACAGACTGCAGAATGAACAACTTGCTTGCAGGGAAATTTTGTACAATTTTATTAAAAATGGAGGTTATAAACATATGTATCACTTATGAAAACATTTGATATGTAGCGCACATTGCCAGAAAATAACAGGTGATAGCATGCATTAACATGAGATTGTCAATACCATTGACATTGTCATTGTTACAATTGTAATCGGTCAGTTGCAAGTTTTATAACTTTAGGTTACCAAAATCTAAGCGAAACATTGCAAAAATGCAAACATACAGTATAGCAAATATATAATGCAGCCAGGATCACAATCATAAAATATGAAGATATATAGGTGTATGATTGACGGTCATGCATACTAGACCTAAGGCCAATGGAACTGTAGATTCTGTTTACCGTCCGAGAATTTAAAAAATCTGATGCGGGTCTTTTTCATTATTCATTTTTCATTATTTTTGTTATTATCTATTTTCCGACCAAAAATGATCCTTAAATCGTTTTCTTTTGATTTCGACCATCAACACTTTTGTCCAGCATTCTTTTATCATTTTTGGGCTTTCCCTTGCTGAAAATTTCTTTGTCACGCCATTGTTTTCGAATTTGCACATGTCAGACTCGCGAATTTCCGAGTGTACCGAACAAATCCATCATACATCAGCGATGTACGGCTTTTTATATCGAAGATTTGATTATTTGATGTATATTTGAAAGTTTCGATGCGTAGAATTAAAAATAATGACAAATAATGAAAATAATTAAGAATAATGAAAAATTCTTGCGGTAGTTTCAAGCACATGCGGGCGGTGGACGGTAAACAGAATCTACAGTTCCATTGGCCTAATATAAAGTACCTAACATTTAATACAACATACTCATACCAAATCAATATATAAACTCCTCATCTCAATTAAATTGGCTTAGGAAGACTGTATGAAAAACATGCATGTGCATAAATTTTGCATCCTGTAGGTTGCAGGTTGTTCTCGTCATGCTTAGAAAATTTATTCAAACCATAGCAATATAGACTCTTCATTGTTTTATCATGAAGTATCAGAAAGCAAGAAGACTTGAAGATACAGTATAAACCTTTACAAAAATTTATATTCCTGTTGGCTGCAGTCCATTTGTTCTCATAATTAAAAAAATTCTCCGTTTCAACATAAATTTAGCAAACCTCACGCAGCTAAATTGAATTCAACTTTAACAGTCACTCACAGACAAGGTTTCTTTAAAGATCTGATAAAGTGGTCGCTCCAAATTGACCTATAGCCAGCATAAAGATCTTGTTTGTATTAATAGTTCATTCAAAAGCTTATATATAGCAAGTGAGATTTCATAATACAATATATTCAAACCATACCAATATAGACTCTTCATTGCTTTATCATGAAGTATCAGAAAGCAAGAAGACTAGAAGATATACACCTTTTCAAAAATTCACATTCTTGTAGGCCGCAGTCCATCATTTGTTCTCATAATTAAATAATTTGTAAACATAAATTTAGAAAAACTCACAATAGAGCTAAATTGAATTCAACTATGCAATAACAGTCACTCACTGATAAGGTTTCTTTGAAGATCTCATAAAATGGTTACTCCAAATTGACCTAGCCAGCATAAAGATCTTGTTTGTATAGTTCATTCAAAAGCTTAAAGACAGTGAGATTTTATGTACAATATATTAATTGAATGAAACCAAAGCAATATACTGCTAATTCATCATGTTAATTTGAAATAATATTCCACTGCATGTCCTGTGTGTAAGACTGGCTTATTCTTTCATGCAGCATAAAATTTACCTTCCTGTAGACTGCAGTCTTTTGTTCTCAACATTATGATGTCATGAATGATGAGTGACTCAGTGTCTTACCTTAAGATATCCTTAATATTGGATATTACTTTATTTATTTCTACCATGAATTTAAACCAGAAAAAATAGGGGGGAAATACATTAATTAGTATTAATTTTTATTAATTGTATTTTTGCATAATAAGGCACAAAGCTAAGGCTGGACTGTCATGAATGTAAGGTGGCCAAAGTTTTGCCAAGCCATGTCTCAAAATTTTCCAAAATCAATCGGGCCCTCTAAGTTTATCAAGCTTAGTTAAAATGGGTAGTTCTAAATGTAAAATGGGTAATTGTAAAACTTAAAATGGGCAGTTCTAATATCCAGTTTTTGAGATTTATATGAAAATTAATTATACATTAAGCACCTATACAGGATATTTAAGGCAAAAGTAAATCCAGCTTTCACTCTGAAAATGCATAAAATGACCATTCTGGACTTTTAAAATTCAAAATTTTCCAAGGGATCATTGTCCCAAGGACCCTCCTAGCTATTGAGGTATCCAATACGTCATGGCAAAAATGTCTCATTGAAGGGGAGTTTCTGGCGCAGTGATTAATGCATGAACCTTGTCTGCCACATAGTTAGCCTGTGTTCACTACCTCTGCTCTTGTCGAAATGGGCAGTTCTAAAATTTTCTTAAGATGACCCTGCATAAACATACTATGCAAGTACATAACTGAAGGTTCAGTCTATCTACAGCACAATGTAATGCTGTATATCAAAAAATCTGTTTCAGAAAATGCAGGGAATTGCAGTCATAGGGATAGAAAAATACAAATATTTTCTGGGGGAGAATACCCCCAGACCCCCCCCCCCTCCCTACTGTTAAATGCGATACCACACCAAACTTTTTGTTACCAACAAACCATCTATCATTTCTCCACAATCGGTATAGTATGGTCCCTTTTTGTAGATGCCCCTCCCCCCCACCCCACTGACAAATTCTTTAAAAATGTCCTGCTTAGAAACACTAGTCACTAGACATGCAATTATTGTTTACCTACGTCTGCTGATCTGTAGAATTCAGTATAGAACACTATACATTTATCGAGTATATCTGTAGTATTACATGTTAATTGTTTCAGTGTGGGTATTAAATTGGGAAATTCGAAATATATAATAGCTTCGGGTTTCAGGAACTTTACGATACTTCACGTATTTATAGGACACTGTCTTTAAAATATGCGGATGGTATTACGAGAAGTACAGTTTTGACTAGTTTTGAATGTATAAATTTATGCTATTTTACTCACATGTTGCTCGTACTGCGTAACATTTTCTCTTTGTCCCACAGTCGCCAGAAGTCAACAGCACGTTCCCCTCTTTGTGTACGTACACGAACGACTAGCTTCTATTTTCTTCCTATTTTCGTGCTCGATAATAAATCTCTCCTGCATTTTTCTTTCCCTCCCAGATCTTTTTTCTCTTTCAAACATCCCTGTATATCTCTCTCGCTCTTTCTTGTTTAATTATTTTTCGTCTTTTACGACGAATTCCTCGATCGTGTTCGGCCTGGAAACCGACCTAGCTTCGAAAGTATATGCTCGCTCTGTCTCGCTGGTTGCACTGAGATTTCTCCCAGATCGTGACGTATCCCACCATTAGCAAGTGCGCCACTCGCTGTGTGGAATGTCGTGTTAAAATGCGCCATTTCAACTGACTTTACGTAAGCTCATACGACCAGACAAAACAGAGAAAAAGCATATTATTTCTTGAGATTTGCCGTCCTTGCTTCCTGATCGATGATCAAGTGCAAATTCCCGCGCGCGCGCTTTGTTTACATATGCTGCACAAATATTACCTTCCCCTCCCTCCCTCAGGCAGGTCAAACAATTGTCTGTTCGCTTGCTGTGTATTTTGCTGTACTGGAATGGAAAATTTTGACCAAATATAACTGTTATTTCTATCTGCAGTTGTGCAAGTAACGTCAATTTTACGGATGATGGTATATTAGTATTCTACTGAGCGAATTTTTGGCCAGATGTTGCTCGTCGAAACCAGTTTAGACCCCGTGAAAGTATACGTGTAATTTGAGTTATTTGACAAACAGGATGGCATTCCCGTTGTGCGTATATGTATACTCGTCCAATCGGAAGATATTTCGTTAATTCCCACTCAATTTTGGATTTTTATGATGAGGTTTAACCGTCACTATCGTTCAAGGTTCACAAACAGGGTTTTCGTCCATCCAAAGTACATTTGAGTTACTGAGCTAAACTTCAACAAGTCTCGTATGGTAATATAAATATGGCTGTGTCGTTATCTGACCAATATGTCCTGTTTATATACTACAAAACGTCGGCCAGGAGAACAGGCTCTTACGAGAACAGTTAATATTAAAGACGACTATAAACGAGACGAAGTTGTCCATCGAAGATACTGTACGAAGGTTGATAAAATGGACAATTTGTCAAACAGAACTGCGAGACACGTTGCCAAAGCTATGCAGGGTAAGCATTTGTACTTATATCTGATAAATTGTGTATACATGTCATTTCAATGGTATAGAACGCTCTGATTTAATGAAAGTTTAGGCTCCTAAAATAATTGCGCCAAATATTCAAAGGCTAATTCAAGATTGCTGAACTCAGTCATAGATGCTGTTTAATAATTTATTACATGCAAATCACTGCTAAAAATACTACAGTATATACCCCATTTACTGTATATATATTATAGAACCCTTGTCTTTGCCCTTGGCAGGCAAAACGTGCAAGTTATGTTTACGCAATATATTTCTGATCTGCACTGTTGTGTTATGCCTGACTCAGGGAGGACAGGCATACCTACCTAGGGGAATTTGACAGTTTCAATTTTGCTACTGTATGTATGACAATAAGCTCCACTGCAGAGCACCACTTTTTAAATTAACCAATCTTTGTCAAATTTTCCCCTATTAAGAAATTTCAAGTTGCGAGAACTCAAGTCAATTCCTGTGTATGCCATCCTTCCCCAGGCGGACAAAACATTGCTTCGTGCATTATTCCAAAGTGCATATCACAATCACAAAACTCTTCACAGCCTAGGTTAACAAGGCAAGGATTAAGTGTCTATTGTACTATAGTATACCTAGTGCTGTATTTCATATATGGAGGCAGACCAGCCCAGGTATCCAAGCAAGTAACAAGGCACCCAGACTGGCCACAGCCTACTACAGTTGAGGTAGACCATTACGCTTGGGCAGGTCAGTTCAGTTCTCATGTTATCGCAAAATTAAATTGGACAATTGACAAGAAATAATACCAAATGTGGTGTCTCTCCAAAACCAGACCAGCTCGGGTACCCTGGCTTCTCTTTCTTGCTTGCGAAATGTGAATTTACTTTTTGTGTTAAATTTCTTGAGGCACTATTAAAGCTGTGTACACTGTAAAATAGCATAGTAAGTGCACCAGGAGGGATTGTGCCTTTAACATATATCTCATTTTTTATAGGATTATGTTCGTCGTAAACTGAAAGCATTGAATGCTTATGAGAGTAATCTAGCATACGTTTGATGAAAGGTAACTTTGTGTACTAACATTATATTTATGAAACACCACAATGACCACATTCATACAAGTTAACTTGTTGCTTGTGATGAAGAATGGTCCTTAAAATGAAATGATTTTTTCTGTGTTGGTGTTATGTACTCAGGTGAATATGATGTTTGTGCAATGATACTCTGAGTGTATATCCACACTGGGCAAGCTTGAAAAATATGCCTGACCACGGTGGGAATCGAACCTACGACCTTTGGAATGCTAGCCCATTGGCTCTGCCAACTGAGCTACGCGGTCTGGTCGGTTCGAGTATGCGATATTTCGGAACAGAATCTAGTTCCTTCGATATCAATGTAATCTAGTATTAATGATATTTTCTGTGTTGGTGCAAGCCAACAAGTACAACCGCGTAGCTCAGTTGGCAGAGCATTGGACTAGCATTCCAAAGGTCCTAGGTTCGATTCCCACTGTGGTCAGGCATATTTTTCAAGCTTGCCCGGTGTGGATATACACTCAGAGTAACATCACAAGCTTCTTATTCACCTGAGTACATTGCACCAACACAGAAAATATCAAGTTAACTTGTATTTGCAGGCCAGCTAGGCCCGTAGCTAGACTGATCATTGGGGGTGTATATTCATATATTCGTGTTCTGCCTGAGGGATTTCTTTTGAAAGTAATTGTTAACGTTGTTACACTACATGAACATGAATATATGAATATACACCCACCGCCACCCACCCCCCACCCCTCCAATTATCGGTTCTAGCTACGCCGCTGTTGCAGGCGTACACTTATGAAACATGAGTCATCTTATACAGCTATACTAAATATTCTGTTTTAATTTTAGTGTTGACTCTCAACACAACATCATGCTGTGTTCCAAGGTTTCCAAGGAACTGGCTCATGAGTATGGAGGGCCACAACTGTTTTAATAAAAGGTATGGTGTACACAGTATTTATGGTATTTGTAATTGTCTTGCCCAAGGCCAAAAAAAATATGTGGGTTTCCGGTTTCTTCTTATAAAAACTTAGGTAGGGTAGGTCGGTTTTAATTTTTTTTTAACTTTTTTTTAAATTTTCCAAACAAATGAACGCCATTTTGTTTAGTCAGTGCTTTCACATCCAAATTAGATAAATTTCCCTAATATTGCCTCAAATTTCAATTTTCCACGAACTTTTTCCTCTAAGTGGAAACACTTACAAGCATGATCCAATAAAAAAGTTTAGGGTCGGGATTTCAACGTCCAAAAGGTAGGTAGGGTCGGGAAACCGGAAACCCGCATATTTTTTTTGGCCCAATAGATATATTTTAAAACCTTATACCGGTAACTCCTGTGGTATCTGGATTCTGGTAATCACTTTACCATACTTTACTCTGTCAATTTTTCAATATTAATTACCAGGCGATATATGTTGGGGGGTCACAAAACTCCCAACACAGCAACGTCTATAGAGTGGTATCACTTTAATTTTGCTCACACCAGAGAATCGTCCTATATATGACTAAAGCTAGACAATTGTACTGTACTTGTACATAGCACATGTCTCAAAATTTGATTTAATTAAAGACTTTTGAGCATAGTATAGAAAGAGTATAATATGCAGCTGCTGTAATTCTTATGATGTTGTCACAAGCAATGCTGTATTGCAGTAGTCAAATGTCACATGCCAGCAATATTATCTGCATTTGCTTGCATTTTGTCAAAAATATTTGCGTTTTGGATTGTAGAATTGACTATTGCATGTGACAACCTTTGCATGTGCACTGTATTTAAAGAATGGTCCTTAAAATGAAATGATTTTTTCGTGTTGGTGTTATGTACTCAGATGAATATGATGTTTGTGCAATGATACTCTGAGTGTATTTATAACCATACCGGAGAAGTTTGAAAAATAGACCTGGCCAGGGTGGGAATCAAAGCTACGACCCTGGAATGCCCAATGCTTTGCCAACTGAGCTATCATGATTACTAGATTGCATTGATATCGAAAGAACTAGACTCAGTTCTGAAATATCACATACTCAAACCAACTTGACTGCGTAGCTCAGTTGGCAGAGCATTGGGCTAGTATTCCAAGGGTCATCTAGGTTCGATTCCAACCGAGGCCGGGCATATTTTTCAAGCTTACCCGGTGTGGATATACACTCAGAGTGACATCACAAGCATCATATTCACCTGAATACATTACACCAACACAGAAAAAATCATGATTATTAGATTGCATTGTTATCGAAGTAACTAGGCTCATTTCCGAAAATCACATAGTATTACTCGAACCGACCTGACTTCGTAGCTCAGTTGGCAGAGCATTGGGCTAGTATTCCAAGGGTCATAGGTTCGATTCCCACCGTAGCCAGGCATATTTTTGTCAAGCTTGCTTGGTGTGGATATACACTCAGAGTAACATCACAAACATCATGGTCTTTAATTTAAAATGTTTACGCGGTTTTTACATATGATTTGGTACAAGTTCTCGTGAACATCCAGAACAAATTATTTTGCGTGTTTAAATTTTCCACCAACATTAACACACAGCAAGGGATTAAAGACTTTGAAGATCTGTTAACAGCTTTCGCATTAATTTACACAGTATAACCAATTTTTTAAGATTGAATTTTTATTATTTTATAAAGGACGAGGTTTGAACTTATAACACTGCATTTAATTTTGATAGCCATTAATTTAGCTTTGTATTTCAAGGGTGTTGCTCAATCTAAAACATCCGTCTTTGGGTGTTTGTGACATTTGTGACACTCTATTTGAAAGTTACATTTTGCTTTGTCCCCCCGAGCAATGTATAAATTTAAATACATGCAGTAAATGCCATTTTTATGCTCATTGCTTGTAATGCCTCGATAACCTCGTGGATGAATCTGTAAGGCTTCCAAAGTCGGATTTCTTGCTGAGCAAAGTTGTGGCATGCATAAGCAGTCTACCTAACACCCCCCCCCCCAAATTACTTACTGTATGTCGCCTGCGACGAAAAGTATGTAAAATGATTATGAAGAAGAATTTAAAGAACTTTCAGAGTCTGAACAACGCGCATACGGTGGAAGGAAAAGTCATCCAGGCAATGTCATCCAATCATCAAATCAACATTTGATACAAAATTGTACTGTGTGAACTCAATAGTCAACATTTGTACTATAAGTTTTCCAAGAACTTGTAGTAGTGTCAAGCTTATTTGTTATTATTTTGTATCTTTCTTTAGAGACTTGCACGCAGGCTGAAGCACGTGGGAAAGGCAAATTGGGGTGCCCAGAAAACTGCAAGAGTGTTCGATGTTATGAGGGCAGGCTACTGTACATGTCATCAGAAGAAAGCGAGGTCGACGAAACAACAAAAAGGATCATGCGTTACAACGTTCGTAGGCTACCCTGGGAGAGTCCATCTCTATACGAAGGGCAAAGAAAAAGTTATACAGGCTCCACACCTTGTCTTTGTCAGAACTGGTACGGAGCAGAATTGTTCCTCGCGAGGATGGACAGCCCTCCATTCGACCTAAGCCAAACGACTTCCCGGAGTGGGCAGCTAAGAACGAGGATGATAATGTTGTTGATGAGAGTGCCCAGTCATTATCCCTAGTGGCTCTTCGCTGAATGACTCTGTTAATGACATTTTAAATGATCATGACTCTGATTGCTATAGTTTTTCAGTATAGTAAAGACCCACGATATATCACCCAAAGTTTTCCATGTTCTAATGTATTAAGTTAAGAGTGCTTTATATATTTGTTGTGAACCTGCATGGCTTCTTAAACAGGTTCATACAAAATTCTAAATAGAAATGTTAGACTGAAAGGTTTTTATTCGTGGGTTTTCATTCTGCACGTGATAATTTGATAATCAAATTTATGAGTTTGCGTAATTTACACTGTTTATACGATATGCATTTATTCTGCATGGCAGATTTGTATGTTATTTATATGGTAAATATAAAATTGAAGAAAAAATTGTGTGCTGAAATCTTTTTTTTTGTCTTTGGAGACATTACTTCCTGCTCTGCTATTAAACTCGCCACTGGAGCAGCTTGTTTGCTATTACGTTCAAATCTGGGAAACGCCAGAGAGATCTATGAATGGCATTACTTTTGTTTTATTGATCATCTTACCTGCACGTACAATTTATTAACGAAAATATCTAAAACATGGCTTAACTGTAACTATTATTATTTGACATTTGCATTTGCGATTTTGAATAGTTTGTTTAACCATTAATGTTTAACCATTAATGGTTAAACAATACTATAGGTATTTAAATGGCAAATGGAAACGTCAAATAGACAATATACGTTTCTTTTCTGTTCTTTTCGTACGACATTAAATGTGTTTTAAGGGTAAATAAACATACAAAACACCTTTGCTTAAAGTTGAGTAAAGACATGTACCTTTTCACAGTTTCAACACCACATTAAATGTGATTAAAGGTTAAATAAAGATACAAAACACCTTTGCTTAAAGTTGAGTAAAGACATGCACCTTTTTACAATTTCAACACCACATTAAATGTGATTAAAGATGTAAAATACCAGAGCAGAAAAGCTTTGTATATGTAGCTTCAAGGTACCTTTACAACTCATTTCTCTTCGCAGTTAAAGACAAGTTAGAAACCTTTAATTCCCTTTAAACAAACTTTTCTCATTCTTTAATAGGTCGTCTTTAATCATCTATAATTATACTATAATTTGGACATTTAAAGCCTCCAGAAAAATCTTTAATCTGCATGCTGAAAGGAGAGTTTAGGTACATTTACTAAATTTAATCAAACTGATTAAATGTGAATAAAGCCGCCAATAACATCGCTTTACCCCACCTTTAACCATGATGATAGCTACTGATTTCGTCCTGTGTT